TCCCGGGCCCGAGACCGATCCCGGGCCCGAGACCGATCCCGGGCCCGATGCCGCCTCGATCCGCCCGATGGGGGAGAGGCGGCGCCGCCCGGGGCCCTCCCGCAGACCCCAGCAGCGCTCGGTCCCCGCAGTCCCGGCCTCGGTCGCGGCCCCGCCGCAGCCCCTCGGGCACAGCCCGGTCCCCAAGTGGGCAAGGCCGGCACCGCATTCTGTCGTGCGCTCTCGTCCCGGGGCTCCCCGTTCCGCCACCCCGGAGAACACCGCGCCGTCGGCGGAAAGCACCCCCCGCCTCACCCTCCTTTCCCCGAGGCCGCAGCCCCGTGGAGTCCCGCCCGCCGCGCTCCTGCGGAACCGGCGGTGCTGCATCGCCGTGAGCGGGAGGAGCCTCTCCGGGGCTTCATCAGGATCTTCCTCTCCACGGTCTTCAAGTGCTGCGTTTTTCCCATGCCCACCGCCTGCTTCCTGAAATAGGTGAGACCTATCAGACCACTGGGAGCATCTCCGTTGCCGGCCCCCAGGGAGCAGTACTCTGCCAATGGTGCTATCTCCAAAGCCTCCAGAGGCACCTGAGCTGACCCACAAGGAGCTGAGGGGCAAGGAGGTGGCCACTCACATACCATTCACCAGTGGTACCACCCTTGTACAGGTTAGAGTCCCAGTCTAGAACCGTTTATATTGGAAAAGACGCCCAAGCTGGATCCCGGTCAGTTCCAGACCCTTCCTTCTCCCCTTGGTTTAGTGATTGAGGAGATGATCTTTACTTCCCTCACAAGGGCACCAATCCCAGGGGGCTGCACAAAGATGCCAAAAGCAGCCCGCAGCCCAGCAACTGCTCCCTCCCCCTGCTATCCCAAAATACGCTTCAGTGGGTCCAGCACTAGGGCGTTGGGGAGCTCCCCTGTGTCACCACACTGATTCTGGGATCTTGATTCTGTCAGACAAGACTTGGCACATAATGAGGGATAACAGACACGAACTCTCCCATAAATGCATAAAGTTACTTTATTTTCAGTATACATTTATTTAATTTTGAAAAATATAAATGCTAAAATATCTCATCATCTTCATTTTTTGATTCCATAAAAGTCACAATAGAAAGCTTCATAAAACTGTAAAATACTATAATGTTATAAGGAATTTCATGTTTTATATTACTGGAAAAAAAAAAAATCACTTTAATATGTTTGAAATGTTTTCTGCTTTTTTTCCTTTTAGCTCCACCATCCGATCCACTTCATTTCATCCTAAGTCCTCGTTCTCTCCTCCAAAGCAAACACGGACTTAGGAGAGTTAAAAACAATAATAAAAGTGCGACTTGATTCAGAGACAGATACAAAGGTCTGTCAGCCCGGTGGCCATCGCACGTCCCACCGTCGGCTGGGACTTCGCATTTGCTGGGGACAGGTAATTTTTGATGGTTGCACCTCTGATCCTGGAGGGCTTTGGGTCAGTCTCCACACCTATTCCCTGAAGCGCCCACCCAGGCTTTTCCGACAAAATACCTAATTTGGATTGAAAGGACGTTTTAGTTATTTTCAAAGGCATACGGAGTGCAGAGAACCTTTCCCTGTCGTGCTGCAGGCTCTTCCCTGCCGCCGGAGGGGGCTGTTTCTCATGGCAAGCTGCAGAAACCTTTGTCCCGTCAGCAGCGCTGCCCTGGGCACAACACAAAAACCACAACACAAAGAGAGAGAAAGATCCAGAACAGCAGTCAGGACACTTCAAGTGTATTTAACACGGTTCGGAAGTGAAAACCTCATTTTTACGGGAGACAGGTGGCCAGGCCAGGCCAGCAGATGGCAGCTGTGCCCGTGGAACGGAGCGGGACAGCCCCTGGGATCCCCCTGAGGGCACCTTTCCTCTGGGATTGCTACACATCCACGGTCCGGGCAGCATGTGCAGCCATCTCACAAGCGGCTCCTGTGGACTCCACAGGCTCGAGCCCGTGTCCTCACTGGGAGCCAGGACTGGTGTTCACCAAGGGATGGAGAGCACTGCCTAAAGCTGGCATCACACTTGCCAAGTTACCTGTCCTCCGGCAGCAGAAGGGATCCCGGAGCTGCTCCTCTTCAGGCCTTTCCCAAGTCTCCCCAGCACTTTGAGAGCAGGTTTCAGCCGGGTTCCTGGGACACCCAACACAGATTTCATGGAAACTGAAGGGGAGACCCCCTGAGAGCGAGCAGGAGCTGTACGGAGGTGGTGGTGGCTCCTAGGTGGGAGCAGATGCTAAAATTTGGCATTTAAGGTCTCAGCACCATCAGAAAATCCTCTTGACTTCACCAACCCAGACTTTGGTTTTGCAAGGACCAAGTGGCAGCATGTGCCCATCCTCTGTGACGGGACTGTCTCCATCAGGGAATGGGGTGTCTTGAGAGCTGGGGCATTTCTTCTTTCGTTTTTTATTTTTGGATGAAGCCTTTTAGTGTGCTCCCCCACGTCCCAGTGAAGCTCAGTTTCCCAAATGCGTGTTCAGATGCACGTACCAGTAGAAACATGCAACACAGAGATAAAACCTCTCTCCTGATGTGATGTTCACTGGCTTGGTTCCACCCCAAAATCCTGGGATGCCCATGCCTGACTTGCTTACTCTTGCTGCACTGCCAGGTCTGGGGCTGAGTAGCCAAGGTTTAGGGTAAATCCTGTAGGTGATGGGAGACAGGGGTGGGATGCAGGAGGATGCGGATGTTTGCAAATCTGAGCGTCGGGATGAACATCCCAGCAGGCCACCTTCATCTTCCTCCTCATCCACTGTGCCTGAGGCACACCTCGGGTGTTCTCACTGCACACACACACGCACACCGGTGTTCTGAGAAAATCACGGAGCGATCCCAAGTCAGAAATCAACAACAGGGATACAACCAGCATCTGCCTGCAGCGTTGGATCAACAACCTGTTTAAGGCTCTTCTAAGATCACAAGAGATTTCATTCTCCTTCACAGCAGGGATTGCTCATTAAAAAGACTCCAAAACCCAACATAACCCTAAGAAAAACAGATGCTTCAGAGCAGGTGGTGTTAATTGAACTGATCCGGCCCTAAGCCACGTCTTGGAGATTGTGGTGTGATGTTGTGGGTCTGTTTTGTGTAAAAATCACATTATATATGGTACAATACATTTTTTACAGAAAGCCTGGCATCTAGAAATAAGAGGTAGAACTACTCATAACTATATGTTTCCTGCTGCAGGAAAAAAATTCATTTTTCTTTACAGTAATTAAAAAAAGGTTAAAAAAAATTGTCAAAAAAAAAAAAAAAAAAAAAAGAAGTCATAGGTTAGGCCCCCATAATTTAAACAAAATAATCTAGGAAAATAACACTCTTCCATGTACCTGATGGATTAAGTCCATTAAAGTGTTTCTTTAAAAAAAAATTGCATAGGAAAGGGACGTTTCCAAACATGCTACAGCGATGGCAACGGTCTGTCTGCGCTGGGAGTGAAGTACCTTCTCTTTTATCTACAGGTGAGAGCACGTGAGGGTTAGCAGCACGTTCCAGCGTCTCCGAGCAGTGGGAGCAGACATGGAATTAGCCTGGAGGTCAGCTCTGTTCTGCCAGACCGCCAGAGCTGTGACGCGCCACCCGTGCCGGCCGCGGCCTCGCGGCGCGTCGGAGCCGAGGCAATCCTGGATTACCTTCGCCGGCGGGAGCAGGGAGCTTCTTAACGTTTGGCTAGTGACAAAATGAATTTGTAAAAGGTCGGACAGACAGACGGATTACAAAGTAGTTTCTGTTCCCTTGCTCCTCCAGAAATAACCATTGTCTTCAGGCTCAAGGTCTATTCTAATTTGAGGCACAACTTTTACTGGAGTTCGTGGAGGGCTGTGGAGAAGAAGACAAGGTCAGTGCAGCGCGAGCGCCGGGCTTTGGGAACGACACGGCTGGATTTAAGGCAAGGCCCACACACAGCTCACAGCAGCAGGCAGAACCACCCAGCCCACTGCCCGAGGAGCTCCCAGCGTCCAGGACTTGTGCCTCACGGAATCCCAAAGTGTTTGGGTTGGAAGGGACCTGGCTGGAAGGAGCCTCAAAAGCTCACGCAGTTCCATGCCCAGCCGTGGGCAGGACACCTTCCACTGGACCAGGCTGCTCCAAGACCCATCCAACCTGGCCTGGAACACTTCCAGGGATGGAGCATCCTGGTGTTTCACCCCAGGCTGTGACAATGCCCCTCAACTGCCACTGAAATAATCCGGGCATTGCCACTGGGATGAATTTCAGTGCCTGTCTAACACCTGTAAGCACAGACACATATTTGATGTTTCAGAGGAATAAACTTGCCTTGGTCCACATCCCACTCACGGTGCTGGGAGGCTCAAGCTGGCCCCAAGGGACTGGGCTCAGAGCAATTATTACTTGCTGCAGTTTGTTTACTCTGTTTTCCACCACAGATATGGAAAAATTGATTATTCCCCTCGGCAACAACCCTCTGGGCTCCTCCCAGTAGCTCCACATCTTTTTCCTGGTCTGATTCCCAAACCAGTCCTCAGAGCTGCAGCCAGGATGTCAGTGGAGCCTTCAGGTCTCCCACAGGTTCTCCACTCCCCATCCCACACCCTGCCAGGGGCTGGAGTAACTATGGAAGCAACTTGTTCATCATCACCTTGGGAAACAGCAACCCCGTGCAGGGAAATGTTCTCCAAGTGTTTTTTAAGAATCCCCTGTAGGAAACTTGCTGTGTTCTGGGTGCTTACCTTGGCATGGCGTGTGATTGAAGGAAGGGAATTGTGTCAGCACGATGTGTGGCGTTCAAGGAATGTTGGTGATTTTTCTCCTGGGGGAAGAAAGCCTCGGTGTCACTGCACCCCAAGCCCTGCCTCAGCTCCTCCAACCCACACCTCTGGGCCAGGCTCGTGTCCTGTTAGCTGCCAGATGCATTTACAGCGTGTTGAGGAACCCCCTGTTCCCATCTCCCCTCCAAAACCCCTCGGGGTGCCAACAGGCCCCGTTCCCCAGAGCTCCCCCCCTTTGGGGACTGGCACTTACCTCGCACCTACACCCCTCCGTCACCCTGTGCTCCCACTGCCACACCCCTGGCCCTGGGAGAGACAGGCTGGCTTCTCCCTGCTCACCCTAGGGGAGCCACGTTCTCTGGGAATGACAGTCCTGGTCCTGCTCTTGCTGCAGGAAAGCTGCTCTTAGTGGTACTGTCAGGAATGTACTCTGGATCGCAGTTACATCCCAGCACAATCCCAGACTGGTGCTGGATCCCACTTTCATTTTTGTTATTCCAGCAGCCTAATAAGTTTAGATTTTTATTTTGCATTGTTTATAATTAAAAACCAGCAAATAAAATACTGGATTATAAAAATGTATAAATACACAAACCAACTACAGCTCAGCCCATGGCTGATTTTCTCTGTTCCATCTCCAAGGGCATCCCAGGAAGCAGGCTGATGGCAGAACTACCTTTTCCTTAACTATTTTAGCCCTTATGATGTTGGAATAAAGGCATCTGATCCTCAAATCCTAAGTAACAATATTTAGGATGCAATTTGTTTTTAGTCCATCAGGAATGTACTAAAAACATGGAATGAGGAGGATATGTAGCTGCCTGTGGCTAATTTTGGATGACATGCTGACATCAGCAAAACACTGAGGATATCCAAATAGCCAGTAAAATGGTTTTGTTTTATAAACCCCATCTCTAAGGGTTTCCACAGCTAAAAGCCACAGGGTAATGCTTGGCACTCCCTGAGGCCTGTGTATGCCACCAAAAGGAAAGAGACTCACACAAAAACACCTCCCAGCTGTTAAGCCCGATGGATAATATAAGGATCTCAAGATCTGGGGGTTTAGGTCCTGTTCCTAGGAAGCACTGGCCTGGCAGTAGCACTAATTTATTACTTCAGTTTGTATTTCTCCCTTCCCACCTCAGAAGAAAAGGGCACTGACACCCTCAGTATGTTAAAAAGTCATCCCAGAGGCAAAAACACCAAGGTCAGCTGTGATTCCTCACTTAAAAGAGGAAAATGTCAAGTGGGAATGACTGAAAATAAAGATTAAATTCATCAATGACAGCTATTAACGTGAGAAATTAAAACCAAAAAGAAGAGCACAAACCACCTAAGAAGGGAAATATGTTAATGGCCAACTGATCTCTGCCTGTGCAGCTTTAATGACACAAATAATTAATTGCTCTGTTAAATGCTGATTTTTGCAACTGCTTGGCACCTAAAGGAACAAACAGTGACAGGACAGCGCTGCAAATCCAGAACACCAGGCTCAGTGGAAAAGAAAATAAATCCCACCATCAGCAGGTTAACACCAAGAGGGAGAGGGAGAGGAGAGAAAGAGAGAGTGGGTGGCCAGGAGACCTGTCAGGAGCTGGAGAGAAGCACTTAAACTGGAGGCACCAGAAGGAACAACACTGATTTTGTAACCAGCAAAGATAAAAAAAAAAAAATCTCACAAAAGCAAAATCTGTCATAAAGCAGGGGCCTGGAAATTAAAAGGAGAGGGAAAAAAAATAACAAGAGAATACTTCTGAAGTAAAAGGAAAGATTAAAAAGAACTTTAAGAAATCACTCTAAATAGACACAGATATATTTTTGTAGTGCAAGTCAGTCAAGCAGGCATGCAAGAGCTTAGTTCTACTCACTGTCGGCAGGTTTGCTATCACTTAGGAAAGGTTCCTGCTCCATGATGTCCATTGGTATTTTAATACTTGGGACTTTTTCTGAGTAGGGGCAGTCAGACTGTGAAAGAAACGTGTAAAAGGTCTTAGAATATTCCCATTTCTCCCTCTTCTTATTGTCTCCCACACATTAAAATTATCCTTCACTTAGTTCTGTAGGAACGGGTAAAAGAAAAGAAGGAAAAAGAGAAAAGCATCCTCCAGTTTAGCTGCCTGATGGATTCCACTGGTTCCCCACTGCACCCCACTTCTCTTCATACCCTCATACTCCAAAAATAAAAGAGACTGAGATAATCATCTTGTGGAATTGTAAATCGTAATAAATCTCCTCCTTTCCCACCCCATCGCCTCCAAAGGCACCATCATCCCATTGTGCCTGGAGTCGGCTGCAGGACACAGAGATGGAAAATGCATTTGTGGGCAGACACAGCAGGGCACTGGCTGCTGGAAAAGCTCATCCAAGCCCTTTGTCCTGCTGGGATTTTTGTAAAAGCCCTTGGTTGTTCCCAATTGCTCTACAGGGTCCAGATATGACGTGGCAGAGGTTCTTTACATCAGACTGGCTCAGCTCCCTCTTTAATGCAAGTGGAGTCAAACCCGGTCTCAGTTACACCTCTGGTTCCTCAATTCCAGAGCCCCTGGAAGAATTCTGTAACCCTGGCCCAGCCAGACAAACAGCAGCCAGGTCAGGATGAGGCACAGGGAAAAGCCGGGGTCACCAGCAGGACTTTGCACCCCGCTGCCTTCCATCACCCACCTGCTTCTGCTTCACAGGAGGTGCTTGGAATTGGTTTGCTTTTTTAAAAAATAAAGGGAACTCCTCATAGCCAAGGAAAGGCTGATACTGCCTAACTTGGCAAAGGCAGGAAGGTGGGATTTGCCAGAAATGTTGGGACATCTTGGTTCCTGAAGAGAACCAGACCCACAACACCGGGGTGGAGGGAGGAGACCTTCCAGTCAGGGCAGGAAAACACTAAGGAGGGCCAGAGAATGGCTCTCCCTGGATTATTATTCTTATTTTTAATTTATTTTTTAACATAACTAATATCCAGTGCCTTATTTCATACTCCAACAGCAAGATGTTTCCTTGGAACTACTTTTATGAGGCTGAGGGAAAAGCATAACTCGAATAAAGCACAAGCAACAGCCAGCAGTTCCCTTGGCTGCACTCGGATCCATCTATTGCCCCCCAGATCCCACAGGATTAATTCTGGGGGTGGATATTTCTGGAAGGGAAAGTGAAAATAATCCAACCAGTAATGCCCAGTGCTGTATGTTCAGGAAGCTGGTAAAAGCAAGTGCTGAAAAAAACCAGCAAGAGTTAAGAACCAATATTTTGCATAAAATGTCTTACCCATTAGATTAATTACTGTACCTGGAATTCAGGAAAAGCCTGGGGAGAGAGGGAATATCTTAAAACATACTGGAGAGAGGGAAGCCACGGCTCGGGATACATCGCTGCTGGATTCACACCAGTCAGGAGGAGGGGATTTCTCAGTAGAGCCTCTTTTAATCTCATTTTGGTTTGCTCCAAGGTGCTAGAGAAAACCCTCACCCTGGGAACTGGAGGAATGACAGGACAGGCAGCTCGCTGTCTGAGCTAAAAGCCAATCCTCCCAGCTGTTTTCCCTGCTGTGCTAAAATGGGATTCTTTTCCAGCTTCAGGTGACCTTACCTCTCCCTACACCACAGAGTGTGTTTAGCACTTCAACATAAATTCCAAGGATTTGTGTTAGACCCGAGCAGGAGAACAATTAAAGGCACCAAAACTACATTTCTTCTTCTTACATATATATATGTATGTATACAGGAAGAAAGAGAACAGTCAAAGGCACATGGGTCTGGTCCAGCTGGGTCACTTTTCACTATTTAGGGCATGCTGCCACCTGAGGTAGGACCAGAGTGTACTGCAGAGGGCATGGGTGCTCGGGAAACATTTAGGTGATGAGTTTTACCAACACAAAGCAGCTTTTCCTGCAATATGACAAATCACATCTATTTTGTGCTTTCCTAAAGAGCCATTACAAAAATATCTTTAAAAAAAGAAACCCAGTAGGACCAGGGCTGCTGGTGAAAAGCATTCTCCTCCTAAAATGTAAGAGACAAGGAAGGGGAGAAAGGCGTAGGAGGGAAGCTGGAGGAGGAGGGGTGATGAGAGGCAATCTAGCAAGGGGCATGACATCTCAGCAGGTACCTGGTGCTCTTGCAAAGTGTGATTTCATTCCTAGCAATGCACAAACCACCCACCACAGGCTGGAAAAGGGAAGGCATTAGTTTTCCTTTGGGACCCATTTGCTGTAGCAGCAAAAGACAGAGCTGTCAGCTCCACAAGTGGCTGGAAAACATCCGGCCTCAGCACTGGGCAGGGCACGGGATGTGCCAGGGGTCAGCTACCTAGCAAGGAATGTGACAAGAGCAGGAAGCTCCTTACATCATCATTGTCACTGTCCATACTGCCCTTCTTCTTCTTCTTCTTCTTCTCATCCTCTTTCTTCTTCTTGTCCTTTTCTGGAATGACGTCGTCAAGAAAGCTTAAGTCATGCTGGGAAAAGAGGTAGTCCATGGCTTTTCTGACTGCCACCAGGGCCAAGATCTGCAAAGGCAGAGAGGGATTCCCAGTCACATTTTACCTTTCATTTGGAACACTGCACTCCTCTCAGTTCTGCTTCTAAGCCCACACTCTTGAATTCTGGCTGTAAATGAACATACAGAGAAGCTGGTGAACACCTGGGACGTCTCTGTCAGCTTGAGAGGTTGTGCTGTGACTGCCTCATGTCAGAAAAATGCGGAAGCAGTGGGCACAAAACAGCATCACAATCACTCACAGGTACTCCTGTACCACTAAACAAACAGAGAAGAAATGAGTGCTTTCATTTACTTTTGGAGGCAGGGTCAGGGGACAGCCTGAGTAATAAAACCTTGACTTATTTCTCACCACTTTCCCAGCTGAGCTCTTAAGAAATCAGACAACTGCCAATCCATGCTCCCAGAGTTTGCAGAATAAAGTTGACTGGGATTGTGGCAGCAGGAAACTGGAGTAAAAGCCTGTTCTGTGCAAGACTGTGATGAAAGCACTAGGAAAAAAAGGAAGGGATGTGTTTGAAAGGGGTGCTTACATGGACACTGTGTCTGACACCCCCAGCAGAGGCCACTCAGACCCTACACAGGCTTTTCCAATGCTGTAACTTATTCCCAACAGGCTGCCTTTAAGGACAACTATGTCCCAAGCAATCATGATCCACAGCACAAACGATTCCCAGGAAAAGATCTCAAGCTTTGACTTGCGTAACTTGGGACGCGACTACAGACGTGAGGAATTACTCGGGGGTGGAAAGATGCCACGCAGACACCCGTGATCATCCCACTATGAATTACTGTGTTGAAAATGCCTTTCCTCCAAATAAACAGGGAGCTGGATATTGGCTGAACTCTAACAAACTGCAAGTTCACAGCTTTTTGTTTGTGAGTGCAGAAAATTGAGCCTTTGCCATCGTATCCAGCTCCATCAAGCCGTGGCTGCGCCTTCCCTGAGTCTGCCTTGGGTTTCACTCAGATTCCAATCTGGGAAAAGTGATTTTAGATTCAGCTTCCAACATAAGTGCAACAGGCAGTGGAATTGCAGTGGAATGCCAGTGGGAATTACTGATTTTTAACATCTTTTACAGGAGCATGTGTCTCAGCAGGAACATTTGGAGGGCTTTTTTTACTTGCACCATCTTTTTTCATTTCACCATCTTGTTCTTTACCTGTGCTCTGCACTCCCTCCTCTCCCTCAAATAAGCACTGCAGCTCCTACCTGCCCTCACAACTGAGATTTTACTTGTCCCTAAACCTGAAATTAGGTGACCTGGGGCCAAGATTTATTCAGGAGTTTCATAAAGCTTTGCCTCTGCAGAAGTCTGACCCATCTCCAAGTCAGAGTGCCTAACTGTGCCTATAGCTCCAGCAATAATATGAATAATCACCCATTGATGGTAAACAACATCAGTGTCTTCTTACTTGTGTTCAAGGAAAAGAGACATTCCCTTTCCCTCCCTTTGGCACCCCTCTCAGCACTCAGCCTCCATCTTGGCTTTGTCAATTTGTGCTATTCAAAAGCCAGGGAGACATTTTCTATCTGGTAGATAGAGTGGACTAAACAGAAAAACTATGCCACTCTCCTTGGTTCACAGAGCTCAAAGAGAACCCACAGCAAATCTAACCTTGGCAGTCAGGAATGCTCAACACGAACTACACCTTCCTGGGGAAAAAATTAACTCTGAGCCTCATGTTCCTGCAGAGGATTTATGTAAAAGCAGCCACGGCCACAGTGACCCCGTGCACTCCTACGTGAGCGCCACGGGTGGAGCCTGAGCCAGAGACTCAGACAGGGCGGGGCTGGATTTACACATTTACAGGAGTGTACAAGCTGGGAAGGAGCGGGCTGTGGTCAAAGTGAGGGATGTGAAGGAGAGCATCACCTACCATGACAGGGAATATGATAGCAGCCACGGTGGATTTGAGGATCCAGAGGAGGGCCAGGCACACCACCTGCAGGAAGGTGAAGAGGTGGACCCTGCGCAGAGGGACGTGGCGCAGGTAGATAAAGTCAGGCTGGTGTTTTAGAGGCATCAAGAGCAGCTTCAGACGATCCATGAACTGGAACAGAAAATGAAGAGGAGTTGCAATGAAACCCAGGATGCACAGAAAGGAGAAAAAACAAGATGAATGCCCAAACCAGGGTCAGCATCACATTCTGGGGCATTTTTGCTGTCTTCCCCTTCCCTGCTCCTGCCAAGGAAAGACATTCAGCCTTTAGGAACAATGCTTTTGTTTTCCCCAAATAAATCAGGAGCAGAGGTCAACAGACATATTGCACTGCCAAAAACCAGAACAGCACCTCACCAAAGAGCAAGGAAGACGGGCAGCTTTCCCAGCGGTGCCCCTTTGCCCCGTGCTGGACCGGATGCACTTGGAACTTAAACCAAAATGGGCATTTCTCATCGAGTAACAAACACTCTTGATCCCAGTCCCCCCACCACCTGGGTGGGGAGCAGGGGAAATGCCCCACGGAGAGCTGGCCCCGGGGCCACCAGGACAATCCCCTCCTTGTCCCCCGGCGGAGCGCGGGCTCACTGCCCATTGCTGGGACCAGACGGAACCCGCGCACTGAATGGAAGCTGGAGCTGTTTTACACAACGCCTGAGGGAATTCTGGGGCTCACAGAACGGACAGTCCCTTCCCCTTAGGGCACGACCCAGAAGGAAAAAGAAAGGCCACAATTAACAGGGTGCCAGAAAGCAACAAAACCACTTCCAGCCTCCTTGGGCCAGCTACAGGCGCTGGGCATGAGAATGGCTCCTTACGTAAGATTTCCTCACGACAAAGAGAGGGGCTTGGCTTCCCCTCCCTGGAGAACAATGTCCCTGCTCGTTAGCACTGAGGAGTAACCCCACTGCCATAAATCATCCTCCTTGTTTGCCTTCAGTCTGTGGCAGAAGACCCAAACTACCCTGGGAGTGAGCCCAAGCTGGGGCAGAAGCCCGTAGAATCCTGGAATGGTTTGGGTTGGAGGGGATCCTAAAGGGATCCTCATTTTCCACCCCCCTGCCATGGGGACAAGGACACCCTCCACTAGACCAGGTTGCTCCAAACCCCATCCCAGCTGTTAAAGATGCACCCAGGTCACCACAAAGCACCCCCTGGCACTGACTGTGCCCACCTGGCCACGCTCCCTTGGACCCCCATCTCAGGACACCCAGGCTTGTGGCAAATTTTCCAACAGCTGCCACCCTTCCTGGGTTTCTTGGGAAGGAAGAAGAGGCAGCGAAGGAGAAGGGTACAGCTGGAGGGCTGTGGGAGAAGCCCTGTGCTGGCTGATGACTCACCTGCACGCCGTTGAGGGATGCAACTCCCATGTAGAGGAAGACGCCGTAGAGCACGGGCATGGGAATGAACTGCGGGACAAGAGCAGGAGAGCCCAGGTGAACAACGTCCCCGTGTGCCACCACACGTTAACAACACTCCCAGCCAGCCAGCAATTCAAACTGCACCCATCAGTGGGTGACACGGAGGAATGAAGCCAAGAAATAATAAAACAAAATAAAGCTGAATAAACAGTAAATCCTTCTGCTGTGTTTCGAGAGACGCAAGGACGTTTTGTGCCATCACGCTTTCTCACTTCACCAGGACTTGGACACATTTTGTCAAGAACCAGTGAACCAAGACTGGGTGACTTGCCAGTCACTCAGCGAGTTAAGGAACGGGTGGGCAAACGTGTTCCAGTGAGCTTCAGACTGCCTTGCACCTCTGTGTGACTGGGAGCAGAAGGCAGAGAAGAAGGAAAGGCAGCATGATCCTGTAGTTTGTGGTGTACCCTGTTTTCCCAGATAACAGGTGACAGAACAAGAGTAAATGGACTCAGGCTGTGCCAGGGGAGGTTTAGGTGGGACATTAGGGAAACACAATCATACAAAAGGTTGTCAAGCCCTGGCACAGGCCTTCCAGGGCAGTGCTGGAGCCACCATCTCTGGAGGAATTTAAAAGCAGCACTTGGGGACATTGTTTAGTGGTGACTTTGGCAGTGCTGGTGGGACTGGGTGATCTTAGAGAGCTTTTCCATTTGAAACAATCCTGTGATGCCATATCCAGCCCAGCTCAGTAAGCCACACAAATCCATGCAGAAAGGCTGTTCCTTTGGAGCCTCACCTCAGCAACAACAGTCATGGCAACCCAATCTCTGCCTGCTCCATCTCTGGCACACATTAATCCAGAACTACTCCCAAATACAGGACTATGACTTCCCTTCTTTGTTGCTAGGATGTGTCCTTTCAAACACCACTTCCTGCTCCCTCCAAGTGCTAAGTGCTGTCTATTCCTCCACATCGGGCACATCTCCCTTTGGGAGTGAGGAAGGTGCAGGGCAGCACCAGACAGGCTCCCTGGAATGAGTCTCTGCTGTCCCTCACTGCAGAATTGGGCAGCCAGCCTGGCACGACAGGAACAAAGCACAGAATAACGGCCTTTGTGGGATTTCCTGGCGCCCAGGGAGGATGGAATGAGCTCCAAAGGATCGTCCCTAGTGCAGTGCCAGGGGGCTGCCACTGAATGGCAGCCGCAGCCAGGCCACGGCACCCGCTGCTCCCAGCACTCCTGCTGGGAACCCTCCCCTCCCAACCTCTGCACTGGGCTCACTGAAGAGACAAATAATGCTGCAGCTATCCAGTGTTTTAGCATATTCCCCATCCTTGCTCACAGTCTCCAGCAGGCATTTCCCTGGGGGCACATGAGCGCCAGAGTCACCCAGCCAGCACCACCTGAAAGCCTGAATTTTCCCTTCCTTCCTGAGTCCCACTGCCCATCACCTCCCACGAGTTTTTTCACCGCTAACTCATCCTTCTCTTGGATTTATTTGCTCCTTGGAGTGAGCTGCACTGCTGTTTCCCATTTGAAGGTAAATGCTTTTTCTGCAGCGTGGGGTCTGCCATCACCGATGTGAGAGGGACGGGGACCTGGCGGGTGGTTCCCAAAGCTGTGGGTGACCACGGGAGTGGTCAAAGCCCTCACGGGATCTGAGGGATGAGACACGACACAACAGTAGCTGCTGTGAGCAAGAACTGAGCTTTATAGCTCATTTTCACTGTTCTCTTCTCCCCCGCTTCCATTTATTTCCACGGGGATTTTTAAAAGTAAGAAAAACATATGAATATTATTTCACCATTCCACGATGATTAATCCTGGAGATCGCTCCCAAATGAGGTGAAGCCTCAGTGCCTTAAGCCTGCAGAGCAGCAAGCTGTGCTGTCACTTTGGAGGGCTTTCTCTTGGCCAAGTATTCCCTGCTGACGGGGGTGCTGGCTTGGGAGCTCCAAGCAAAGCTGCTGTGGGCCAACAGGACTCCAACTGTATTTATAGGAAAGTGTCTGTCCCCCTCCTGGCAGATCCAAGGATGTTTCTGTGGAGATCTGCTTTGGCTGAGCAGAAACACCACCGCTATCCAAAACCAGCATAACCACCGCAAAGCCCTCAGAAAACAAAGCTGGGATTATTCCGTGCATTGCCTGGTTTATTAAATTTGGGATTGTCAGCGTTCAATTTGCCGCTGGCAGGAGAAGACTGAAATGTTCTGCAATGCGTTTAGCAGCACAGCTCTCTCCAGCAGGACCCTGCCACTGGAATTTGCTAAAGGTCCTGAAATCCTGCCAGGTCCTTCCCGCTGGCACGTGGGCCAGCAGCATGCTGACTTATCCTCAGGCGTCCTCCAGTGAGGATCTTCCCCACACATTGTCTTAGGGGAAGCACAGACAAATAATTACTGGCTGAAGCAATAACAAGGGAAGTAGCAGACCCCCGTGGATCAGAGGAAGAGAGATCTTGCAGGGAAAGGTCACATAAACTAAAAAACAGGATTATCACCATTGGGCATTAAAGGCACAGAAATGCCTGTTTGTGCAGAGGTGGAAACTGCTACCCAAGACACCGAAACTGGAGCTGTGCAAACAGCCTTAGAAACGAACAACAGGAACACACTGGCTTGGAAAGCCACTGTCTCCACTCCCTGCACGGGCAGTGTTGCTGCTCCCTGCCTGCCTCCCATCTCAGACTCACACTGCACTGTGCCTCACAGCCCTGTGGTTTCCAAAAACTCATCTGCAGCCTCCAAAACGCTCCTGCAGACACCCATCTGCTCGGTCCCACAGTCAGGAGGCACGGTGCCGCTGGTCTGACACCCCCTGCTCGTGCCACCGGCCTAGGGATCCATGGATAAGGGCTCCTGCAGCTGCCATCTCCCGTTGGACAGTATGTCCCTGCTTGGCACCACTTCCAGCACTGTCCCCAGAGAAGGCAGCATCCTCCAAAAGACAGGCATAAGAAGGTTTTCCAGTTTCCTTCTACCATCTGGTGATCCACCAAGGATGCATTTCTCTGTGGCTACATGCCACTGAATTTCTGGTCTTGGAAAACAGCGACCTACCTATAGATCAAATGGTCCATCAGTAGCACATCTGCACAGAGCCTTTGATAAACTCACAGGGAAAAAAAGGTTCAGGAGATGAAGAAATGCCATTTAATTGCACTGCTTCCTCCAGAAACATGTCTTCCATACTCTGAGCTTTATCCAGAATATGTTTTCCATAAAACAGAGGCCCAGTGGAGGTACAAAAGAAATCATAAAAGCAATCATAAAAGAAAACGGAACTTAACCTTAGGCAAACATGGAGAGATACCCTTAAAATGAACAAGACCACGGTGCCCAAGATCCCCAGCCCTGAACTTGGTCACTATTCCAGCACACTACAACCATTGCTGGTGTTTCCTTCCAGAAGGTCTGGATTTAAGCTTTCAAAAGCACTGTAAACAGTCCTTACCTTCAGGATGGGAGCCATGAAGACAGACACCCCGGTCAGGATGAAGACAATGACTCCAGTGACTCTCTGCTCCCTGAAACAACATCACAGAGTCAGGACCACAAGTACTTAACACCAACAGGAATCCCCAAAACTCATTGCTGCAGCCACATTTTTCATCCAACAGCATCAGGCAGGTGGCTGGATCCTGACCAAGACCTGGGTTTTAAACCCCCAGGTGGTTTTGTTACACTGTTTGGGGATCAACACAGCGCTGCAAGTGAGCCTGGGGCAGCGTGTTTACAGGTTAAACATTCCCAGTTCCCTGCACAGCCATACTCAGAGCATGCAGAGAGGCAATAAATCATCAGCCCTCCACCCTGACATCAGTAACACACTGTGAGCCCTGCCCAGAGCACTCCAACAGCCGGATAAATCATTCAGACCTTCGTGGGGTGCTGAACACGTGCCTTCAGCAGCACCCACAGGGATTCCCACATCCAAAAATAGCTGGTAATATTTCAGAACACTGAAAGCGAGGCCACAAAATTTCCATCCAGTTACCTAAACAAGCAGCCTGATTTCCAGGAGTAATCCCATCGGAAGCACTTCAGACCACTTAATTAAGGCAACCAAACACAGGAAAAAATGCTTCATTAAGTAGAGCTGGTTGCACTAGGTATGACAGGTTTGCATGTTTGACCATTACATTTGCTAGGGAATTTGCTTAATTTCCCTGGATAGAGAAATCTGCAAGAAATTTATTTCTTTTAACAAGGAACACAGCTTTCTGCTGTGGCCAAATAAACTTTGGAGGAGTCACATGGGGCCTGCCCAAGGCATTGGAAATAGGGAGAAAGCAGCACAAAATTCTTTCTACAAAAGGATTTTGCAGGCAAAAAAGGGTAATTAGGTCTTCCTGGTCGGACATACCTCACTCCCAAAAACTTGGGCTGTTCTCCAGGGGCTGAAGTCTCTGTCTCCATCTTCAAGCTGTCGATGTGAGCGATGGAGATGACGGTAGCAGCCACGTACCAGGGCAGCCCCATAAAGGAGCAGACAATCATCAGAATGGCCACCCAGAACAAGTCCAGATGATATCCAGCACCTTTCTGTGGAGGGGGACAAACAACCCTCAGCTTAATTATTCCAAATGCCTAGGGAGCAGGGCAGAGGCACACCGGACAGGCAGCACTTCCTTCTGCAACATGCCGGCCAACAGAGCCGAACACCAGGAATACACTGGACACTGTGAACAGCATAAGGAAGCATCTCCCTCAGGACACAACCCCAGGCTCCTTCAGGAGTGCAACAAGAACAGCTGAAGCCTCATTCCCTATCCAAAGCAGAAAGCTGCCCTCATTCTTGACTCCTCTTCAAACACCTCTGATCCTCTATTTTTAAAATCCTTCAATGAAATAAAACAGGAAATCCAACAGTCACAAGTGCCAAGAGGAGAAATGGAGAAACAAAAGAGCCACCAAGAAAAGGGATCTTCAGAAAAACAGCAGACAAACCTCTAAGGTTTGCTATTTTAAAACAGATTAACCTTTTAAAAATCCCATTCAGTTTGATTTTATTGGAAAAAACAAATGATCCAGGCCTAGGATGACCCAGGAGGGAGAGCCATCCAGCTTCTCTTGAATAGTCCTCACTGTTTTCCTCACACGTGAGCTGCTTACCTTGGCTGGCTGCTGGCACCGGGATGGGCACCCAGCAACACCCTGCCAACGCTTCAGCAAGGGATGAGCAGAACAAAACACCTTTTTTCCTACAGCAGATCTCGTGTATAGAAGGGGTTTCTGGTGTGGAACGACACGATGGGGCTTTTGGGAACCCTCGGTTCCACAAAATACCATACTCACACCATAACAAAGGAAGCAGGGAATACATTTTTTACATCAAACAGTACTTTGCTGGAGCGTTTATAACTTTGTCACTAAAAAGGTACAGCCAGTGCTGACAGCAAAACCGCATTCAGTGGTTCATAAGCTGCGGAGATGAGGGGCCCCTTCTTCATGGGGGAAGAACAGCAAATGTTTTCCTACAGTGTTTAAGAAAATGCTGTGTCTGCTTGGTTAGGTGCAGGAGACAGACCTAAAACTGTTCAGCCATCTCTGAGGAACAATATCGAATTTATCTGCCCAGATACACATCCTTGGCAAACAAGGATGTTCTGAGGGATTTCTTTTTAAACCATCGGCCAGCAGTCATCACTGTGCACAAGAAGCCTTTCCCAATCCCTGGTACTTCAACGCTGTCCTCCAGACTGGGCTCAGGATGGGCTTAAATTACACACTACTTGCCTAGTGTTTACAGCAACCACGTGACTTGAAACATCCTCCTCTTTTCCAAGCAGATGCTCCCTTCCCATTTCCAACAGCTCTCCCAATAACTGATGAAGCAGGTATCTAAATAATGACCCACTACTCCCTGTGTTATGAGGGAGCCATTACTCCCACGGGTCAGACCACTAGGAACGTGCCCTGTTAGCAGGAGGGAGAGTCTTCTTTTACAGGAATTTAATATTTTTCAATAGAACTGACCGTGCAGGGAAAGGAAGAAAAACCCCACAGGCATGAAAAACTGCATAGCACTGGTCTGCAAAGTTTGTTTTAAAAACATGACTACATCTTAGGCTGTTACATATCAGCTCTTCTTTCAATAACATCCAACTGGGGCTATACCCTTGGTATGTCCCAAATCTCTCCAGCTCATTGCTCGTATTTGACAGCACCCTGCAGCTTTGGCCACTTCTCCTGCTTTGGAACAGCAGCCAGGGACAGGGAATAGGCTCGTGTCCACTAGGGAGGAAGGTGACAGGAGGAAAAAAGCCCTGCACGTGCTGCAGGCACAAGGCACACCCACCTTGAGCTTGTGCTCCTTCCTGTTGACGATGACGGCGGTGATCTGCTGGTCCATGAAGATGAGGATGGTCACCAGCAGGGCGGGGATGGCTGCTGCCAGGTACACCCACCACGGGTTCCCTCCGAAGGGTGGGATAAACCAGCCCCTCTCGGGACTGGTTGGCTTGGAAGGGCAAGGAAAAGAAAGCTTGGGTTAGAGGCACAGCACAGGGGAGGTGACATCCCAAAGCCAGGTTTGCTCCCAGCAAATGGAGCTTCAGGGAGACACTTCAGGTTTGTGGCAATTTCATCCTTCCCAGTAACACCAATCAAAGATTCCAAGTGCAAAGGCAAAATTTAGGAGATAAACTAGCCAGTTAAAATGATGCTAACAAAAAGCATCCTATCCCTAACCCTCTGAGTAAACCAGACTTTTCCAGGCCACTGCCTACATTCCCATTCTGAGGGAAAGTCATTCCATCCAGGGCAGGTGTGAGGGAAAAGGAACCTCTTCCAAAAGCCAGCAAACAAGCTGACAACAACATACCTTGAATTCACTTGGCACAATTAGTTTTGGTGTGTCCACACCAACCAGGGCATCTATTCCACAGAAAATCAAAATGGACAGGATAATGGCAAAGTCGCTGATGAGCTTCCGGGCCTGAAAGAGACGCGGTGTCAATAACCACAGGAGTCAGCACCACGAAACACCATTCCACCCATGCTTTAGTGTCTGCATGAGAAGCCCTGGCAAGACAAGCTCATCCTTTCTTCTCCCACAAATATGCCCACCCTCATGCCCAGTGTCACTTGCCACACATGCCTTGGTACTTTACTGTGTTCTCTGAAAGCCTAAATGGAAGCACAAAAACAACACAAACTTCCACAGCTGAGATACTCCGAAGGACTGGCAGAGATTACGTTGTTTGCTGTTCAAGAAGTAAGTCAGCCTAAGCAGACAGGAAAACAAACCAGGCTTCTCAGCTAAATCCCTAAGACTGCAGCTCTCCTGAAGTCACTGGAATACAACGGCTTAGTGCTGCCACTGCTCAGACCCCAGAATTTAAGCAGACAGGGGCCACTGCGCTAGGCTGGAACTGTGTGAGCTTTCCAGAGCTGTTGTTCCTTCCAGGGTTTGCATGGTTACAGATAAATTGAGCTGCATTCCAGCCCAGATGGAATTTGTTTCCTTTTTATTAAAAATAAGAGAGGTTCAATTGTAACACAGTGGAACAGTAAACATCCATGCAGGATAAATCCCTGTGTGTCAGAATGCCAGAAACGGGGCAGTCTCAGGGAGAAATGGCTTTGGCACACACAGGAAGCGCTGGCTCACACGCCTGGCCTGGGATCCTCACCAGGGGACAAAACAAGCAGATGCACCTGAGACGTGCCTGTAAGCTTGGAAAGGTTGATTTCAGCACCTTTAAAATCCCCATCACATTACCCAAACAGGTTACAGCTCCTCTTGGCTCCTCTGCTGCCTCACCTGTGCTCCCCAGAACCACTGGGAGCGATCCCAGGCATACCTTTGATAACCACATCCAACAACCAGCTGCACTCTTAACCCAACCAATGCAACCTGGCTTTCCTGCAGAGCATCCTTCCCTGTGTGTGGGACAGCAAGTCCAAAAGGAAGGCTGACCTGTGCCCTCAGACAGACTGATGGGGTGACAGGAGATACTCACAGTGGTGGGAAAGTAGCGACTGGTCTTGAATTTCTTCAGGGCCATGGAGCAGGTGTAAGTGCCAAAGAAAAGGATGAAGGACATGAGGGTGATGTCAGGGACATAGTCACAGTTGTTGCCCACAAGTTGACCCCCATACTTCAAGCACTCCTTGGCTGTCAGAGCTGCCCAGTCAATGGTGGTGTTGTCCTGCAGAAAAGAGGGAATGTTTCAGTAAGGCTGTGTATACTCTGCCCATGCTGGGACAGGAATGGTGACAGGAGGAACAGGGAGGCATCATGTGGAAGCTAGAAATCATGGAATCATGGAATGGTTTGGTGAGACCATTTTCCTGCCGGTGTTTGACTAAAGGGGCTGTTACTCTGTGTCTCAACTTGCTTCCCCCACGTGGGATGTGATCCATCAAGCTCTCCTTCCTTCTCCTCATTATCCAGAGCTCAGCAGCAGAGTGGCACCACAAGACTCTGCAGTCCATGTGATCCCTGCCTTCCCAAGGGGAACTCACCAGCTCGGAGGAGGGAGAGACCAGCTCATAGTCTGACAGCACCGTTGTCCTGTTAAGTAATGAGCCATTAACTGCAAGAGAAAAGAGAAAAGAAAAAAGGCAATATGGTGAGCAGGATGCAGGAAACAGTTAGGAAGGAGAACCAATTCCAATGGTTAAATAATTTCTGGATTCTATCAAGCTGTCTGCCACCTCTTTGCTCCAGTAAAGTGAGTCACAAGTGTTTCAGACAGACTCAAAAGCCTCAATCATCAGTCACTTACAAAACAGAAAAAGAAAAGGTTAAGTGAAACATAACCCAAACCCAACTGGGATTATATTACGAGTTCATGGTAAAAAAAAAAAAACACAAAACACCAGACAGACAATATAATATTTCATAGCTTTCCAATATTTTTCTAATGATTTCTGGATTAAATTAAATACCCACAGAACACCCCTAATGATTAATTTCAAATGCAAGCACAACGCCAAAGATATCCAAAAAAGCAGAATACATTTCAGTGTCCAGCATAAACACAGTTTTGACTTAAAGAAAAAAGAGAGCAGACAATCAAAATCAACAGGATGGGGATCATTTCTTTGAAAGAAGGAGCAGCCTTCCCTGTGGCTTCTGCAGCATTGGGAATCACAAATGTGGGAGGACCGATTGCAAGAATAATACAGAGTGCTGAAAGAAATCTCCCTGGATGAGTTATAGCTGTGCCAGTTACCAAAGAGCAGAAACAGCCTTGCCCAGCCAGTGAGGATGGGTGCTATGAAAGCAAAGCTCAGGTGGGGGAGGTTTTAGCTGGAGTTGGAATCTGCTGGCCTTGCTGTGAGGAGGAAGGACAGACAGGGTTAGGTGGTCACGCAGATGGAGACAGAAGAGAGGAGGAGTCCATGCTGTGTGGAGCTGCCCACGGAAAGGGTACAGAGAAAAGGCATTAAGAGTTTTTAAGATAATGAGGGACTGATGTTGGTGTCAGTCACGCCTCCACTGCCAATAAATTTGAGATATCACTTAGAAATGCAATCCTTCCTGCAAATGGGCTCGTGGCCCCTGTCCTCATGGCCTATAGAGGTTTTGCATAAATAAACTTTTTTCACTTGGACGTCTGGAGAGCTGCAAGTGCTTCAATGGGAAATGGAGACTTCCAATTTGGCACTGACCATTCCATGGTCCCAGTTTCAAAGAGGAAACCACTCTGCCAATCCAGTGGAGGCAGAAGCAGAGCAGCATCCTCGTGCTCACCAAGATTCAGCGTTTAACAGGGCAGGCAGGCACCCAGCCCCCAGGGAACCAGCTCCTGACACCCAGGAGGAGCAGCCAGCAGCTTTTCCTGTTGGACAGGTGTGCCGAGATAACCTGCAGTTTACTTTGGGCACAGATCAACCCTCTTACTCACTCCCCGTTGTTTGTGGGTTCCTAGGAGTGGTCCCCACCTCCCCACTGGTACGGCCAGCGTCTCTCAGTTTGGATTTGGGTTTTGTAACCCTTTGTTCCCAGAGCCAGAGGTACACTGGCTATATCTGCCACACAGCCCACGCTCCAGAGATAGGCTGCCCTGTGGATACACCTCCCTTCTTGGAAAGGAAGGAATTGTTTGTGCTTTCCCTGTCATCCATGGAACCAGGAGGTGGGAACCACCCACGCTTGGGTAACGCCTTGAATAAATCCAGCTCCTGACACGGCAGTGACCTGAGCTCCATGGCAGTGACCTGATCTGCACAGCAGCGACCTGGCCACGGCTTCTGCCCCTTGCTGGAATTCTTGGAGGAATGCCATTTGCAACTGACAGCCACAGGGATGCAGGGAGACACAGGTGCAGAAAAAGCTTCTGCACTGGTCATGATGCTCTCTGGAGGAGTTCAGGAAGGCCAGCTGTACTGATATTCCACTTGGGATGTAAGGTGAAATTTACCTCTTGGCTTCCTGAGACTAAGATAGGATATCTGAAGGCAACCAATAAAGAAGGAATAATCTACCTATTATCTGGGAAAAGGAGAGCAAAGGCCACCTCCTACCTACAAACTGGAGAGGTAGTGAACACTCCCTTACCTGGATCTAGTGGTTTACAAGCACATGAGTAATGTGTGATATAGTCCACCTTGAACTGGGAGTTGATGGGATAATGATCTGCCAGCTTGATCATCTTCTTGAAAGCATCATAAATGAAGATGAAGCTGATCAGGGAGGAAAATCCTTCTTCAGTGAAGCGTGTGAAGTACTTGACCAGGAAGCTGGCGTCGGTGGCCACAAGAATGAGACACTGGAAGGCTGACCAGAGGCCGATCCAGAGGCGGAACTCCAGGTAGTCAAAATCATTGTCCCTGCAACGAGACGAGGGTGGCAATAAAGGAAAACATTGGGTTAGGTAAGATCAGTACAATGATCAGTACAAAGCAGATGCTACATGGAATGAAGAAGAGCCAGGGGAAGCTGAGATTGGACATAAAGGAAAGATGTTCTCCCAGAGGGTGGCTGGACACTGGAATAGTCTCCCCAGCGAAGCAGTCACAGCACCTGACCTGATGGAGGAGTTCAAGGAGCACCTGGACAGTGCTCTTGGTCATCTGGTTTAGTTTTAGGTAGTCTGGCCAGGTGCAGAAGAGTTGGATTCGCTGATCTTTATGGGTCCTTTCCAACCTGAGATATTCTATGATTCTGTGACAAACCCTGGTGCTGGGAATGCCAGGCTGTGGAGAACCATGCACCCAACTGCATCATTCCCTCCTGGAAACAATGGCCCCTTGTTTGCTGCTTGAGGCTGAGGTGCTGTGCTGGCACAGAGGCCGAAGGTGGGCTTTTAGGGATGAAGAAGTGCCTAAAGGGAACACTGGAGCAGATATAGGGACCTGCCAGGAAGGCCACAGCATGTTCTGGGGAAGGAAGCAAGTGGTGGTGGGACTGGCACGCTCAGCCAGCTGTAATTCTCTGGAAGCCAGAAGCCCTGACCTGGAAGAGGGCAAGGAGCAAGTAAGAAACAAAGTGATTTAGAAAAAGACAAGGGAAAAAATGAAAATACGAGACCCGAGTGACAACTCTGAAATATGTGGAGTCAGTGCCTGAGGGGGCAGGAGGTCCCATCCATCTCAAGGCAGCTGGCAGAAACCCAGGAACACTTACTCCACACCATTGAAGAACTTCAAAAAATTCAAACTATATTATTTTGGCTTTTGCTCCTCAAATTCCTGCAGCACTTCTGAAGCCGACAGAGCAGGTGGAAAAGCACCGTGTCCCGTAGGATTGGTCACTGGTGCCAGCACCACGGAGCACCCGAGGCCAGACACATGGCTGGGTCTGCAAGGTGTTTTTAGGGATCTTTTCAGACACACACACACAGAGTCACACTCTAAATGAGTCAGGAAATGAGAAGTTTTTCTACTTTTGTTCCTAGCAGGGAACAGAGTGTTGTGAAAATGAGCCACAAATGCATTACTGAAAAATCCAAGTACTTCATTCCAATTTCTTTGTACGAAAGGCCTGCTTTGAAAACTCTTGAAGGATTCCTCACGGAGGACCGAAGTGGCCAAGGGTGTTTTTCAGGAGGCCCCACAGAGACAGGCAGCCACACACTGGGCAGCGCCCTGGGACGTGCGTGCCGGGAAAATCCCTGATGCGATTGCACCGGATCTCAACAAGGAACGAGACGTTTCATTTTGTGCGCTAAATCCCCTCCTTCCCCACCAGCAGGCAGCTCATTCCCTGCCTGGGGCTTCCTTCGCGTGGGACATTCCTGCCCTCTCCCGCCACATACTCACTTGCTGAAATTGAAGAGGAGCCGCTCAAAGACCAGGACGGGTCCTGTGCTGCTCAAAATGGTGAGGGGCTGACCAGCCAAAAGGCAAAATATGGCGCCGGTGACAGCCGTGCCCAGGAAGCTCTCCAACACGCCCTGCGGAGACACAGCAGAGGAGTCACTCCTGCGGGATAACCCTCGCGTGCTCCCTGACCCCGTGCCCAAGGGGAGAGCAGCCTCTGCCTCCCCTGCAGCTCCCAGCCACATGTTGGTCCCACGCAAGCCAGGGTTACTCGGGGTAGCCATGCATGCACGTGCCCGTCCTCCCTTCCGCCTACGCTGCAGGGATGGGGCTGCAGCTTCCCTGGCTTAGCAGGGGTACTGCAAGAACTGAAATCCAGGTCTGGGTCTCTCTTCCTTGAGAAGACACGGGTTAGTGTTGACACTAAGGAAAGCGATAGGCTGGCTGCCTTTGGGGGACTGGGAAGGATGAGCCCAATAATCCTGGGGCAAGGAACAGCCTTCACACAGCTGATGCCCTCCACTCTTCTTCTGTTACTCCTGGAGAGGGTCCTCATGGCCAGAGCATCTGGATTCTCTTTTCCCTGTGTTCTTCCACATGTCTGGAGCTAAGAATAGTGTCTTTTCTTGGAAACATAAAACTCAGGAGCGAGCTGTGAAGGAAGTGCTGGCTGGGGCAGCTCCTGGCACAGGGAGCAGGGATGGGCCATGCTCAGTGCCTGCCCCAGCAGCAGCCACATCACTACTTGCAACAAACAAGGCACATGAACTGTGATGTAGCAGCCCCAAAACTACTGCATTTTGGGGCTTTTTTGCTACTTGATAGTAAGTATTCTTGAGACTTTTGGCCACAATAAAGCAAGTCTGAATTCGAACTAGATTTGGAATTCAGTAACATTTCCCCTTCCTCCTCTAATTTGAAGACTGCACCCTGTGCAGAGCAGACAGGCTTTGCTCTGCTACCCCCATGACAGTCCAGTGTTCACTGGTGGATCCTGGAGGCCTCTCCATTCCTGACTTCCATGAGTCTCAGAAAAGGCAAACTGTTTGTACAGGAGAGAGGGGAGCTGGGCACTGCACAGGCTGCTGGATCTTACTCTAGCCTGTAGTTCATCATAGGGTTCCAGATACGTGCCCTCATTTCCTATGTTGGACTTAATGAAACCTGCATGAATTAATAATTCAGTCACTGTCATCATGAGCTTAATTATTGCTGGGAGATTTGACTGAAGTGCACGGGCTAAACAGAATCTATCTAAACACAACCTCCTACTTTTCCTATTATTCCACTAACACAAAGCACCTACAGCACTGTTAACACAGAATCCCTTCTCTTCACCCTGAGCTAAGCCATTGATCCAGCTTGTCCATGGATATGTGGCTGGTTCTCAGCATGTGACCTCCCACTACTACAAATTCATCTTTCTGAAGACCTGACATTTTTCTCCTGTGTTACTCATTTTCCCAATTATTTTGGGATTTTTTTTCAACCAGAGAGGCCAAAGCCCAGATATTGTAGGAATCAGGCAGAGGATTCAGACTTGGCAAACTTAATTGGACTAAAATGGTACAACTGAGAGCAGATCAGAGGAACTTCTCTCTACAGAAGGAGCAAAGACCTTCTCTGTCTCTTGGGCCTACTTTTATTCCATTTAAGGAACTGCTGTACAGTTTCTCAAAGGACAGCCACAGCAGCCAGAAAGCAGTGAAAACATGGAAAACCTCCATTATTGTACCAAGAATTCCAGCTTTGCCAGCACCCAAACACTGCCTGGACAGCAAAAGGCAAATGCTGTATTTGTTGGCTGTGAAAGCTCTTGCCCACCTGCATGTTCTCCGTAGCATCCCCAAGCAATCCCCCAAAAGTGATGGCATTGGTGACAGTGGCCAGGTAGATGAAGAGGATGGCTGAGAGGGCCTGGATATTTAAAGCGTCGTAGAAGTCGCTGGCGAAGAACGGTGCTTTCCTCTTGATGTCTTTGATCAAGCCCCCACAGAATCTGCAAGGACAAGCAAGAGGAGACTCGTGGAAGATGTTTCACAGTGGAAGTCACCACGCTAAGTCATCAGAGATACTGCCAGCAATCAAGTATTATCTCAAAGGAGTGAGATCACTGCATTACAAACAGTCTTGTCACAGCTCTGGCGGTCCAGGGATCTCAGAGAGAATGTTGTAAGGGAAGAGAGTATCTGAAATGTGTGATGCAGCTGGAAACAGACAGATTTCAGGACAGCTAGCCACGCTTCTGCTGAAACAGACCTCTACAGTTTATATTTCAGGAAGCTCATCTGTTGTTTTTTTCCCCCAAATATATTAGTTGATGTAATTAAACAGATCAAGATCAACTCTGGTCTAAATCCCTGCCTGAATTTCTCCATATAGCAGACACCATGGCTGGGCGAGCCAAACAATCTGCTGCATGGAAAAATGCTTCAAAATCATAACCAGCAAAAGAACTAGAAGTGAAAAAAACAAGGGAAATACTCTTGGACAACAGAGAACTCGCTCACAGTCGCCCCTTTTTGTATGATCACAGACAAGACGTATTTAAGTCTTACAAACTCCACATGGCACTGACACTGCCAGCATGAAAAATGTTTCTTTAGCCTCTTGTTCCCCTGCTCACAGCTCCCCACCCATGCCAGGGCTGCCCAGACACCGTGGCAGACAGGCACACGCCACCTTCTGACCCCAAACCAGGATGCTCCACTGCCTTGTACACACTAATGCGCTGTGAAGACTTTTAGACTCTTCTCCTAGGATTTAGACTAGAACTAGAGCTGAAAAAGAAGATACAGAGTGGGAGGGAGGGCACAAAGCCACCACAAAGCCCTGTGCGCTGATCTTGAAACACTGAGCTTGCTGTTTCGTGGCCACCTGAGCTGTATTCCCACTGCAGTGGACTTTTACATGGCACAAAGCAGAGTAATAAAGCAGAGAGCAGGGCCTGGAGTGCTGTCACCTTCTCTATTTCTATCCCATAAAAGCTTTCAGCTGTGCAATCCAACTGCAACATTAAGGTCCAGAAAAGGGAACATTTCTGCTTTTGGCTAAGGCACCCCTCCAGCAATCCAAATGGATTAACTGAGCCTTGTACCTGCCATGTTTATGTCCCTTATGGTTCATCTGACTTCACAGGCTCCCAACAGGCAGCACCTACCTGTCCTTTTTAACGCCTCTCTATCATTTAATGAGCGTCTGATTCATGACATTTTGCCATTTCCTGAAGCCACGTGTTCGGGACCTTTCAGACAGCCTCACTCTGGGCACATTTTGAGGTCACACCTCAGCCTGTACAGCCAGCCCACTGGGGTGGCAATGTTTTTGGCAAGGGAAGCATTGCAGGGGCGTCACCGACCTGCCCGTCCGCTGCAGCTCCTCGCAGTCGCCGTGGCCGCCGCCGTGGCCCCCGTCGTGGGGCGTGTCTCCGTTCATCTGCGGGTTCTCCCCACCAGAGTACATGTTTTTCCTAGGCAAGGACACAGCATGTCACGAGGACCAAGAAGAACCCCTAAGAGCCTGGCTAACTACCAGCTATGTTACTGTGTGCCTACAACAGCACCCCAAGAATATCAGGAAACAAGGAAGGCCTGAAAATATCTCCGGGATTTTCTAAATAGTGACAGACAGGTGCAGGTCACTCCATACACCTGGCACAACCAGAACACCGGCTTTTCCCATCCCCTTTCCACACCTCATGCCCACTGTCTTTCACCACAGAGCCCCTCTCCTTCTATCACCTCTTATCCGAAGAAGGGAGAGACTTGGGGGGCTCTATCCTAATGGCTGGATCCCATTCCCCAGGGGGGAGCACAATGACTTCATCCAGAAATTCATCGATGCCTGCGATCAGGTCCTGACGGTCCTTGGCTTTATAGGCAATGTCATGGAATACCTGTAAGGAAAAGAGACTTCTTGTGGAGAAGGTTTGCATCTTCTGTGGCCCTGACTCCAGAAGCAGGTGTAGAGTTCTACAAAATCAATTTAATTCCTTCTCAGAAACTTCTGAAGAAGTATCAGGACATGTTGCACAAGGAGGTCTGACCCTTCCTTTGGCTGGATAACAACAAAGATTCATTTTTTGCAGGCATATATCTAATTTTAAGAAAAATATCTATTTCTAACCTTTAAAAATGTTAGTAAAGCAATTATCTATTTCTTCAGTGCAAAAAAAGGTTTCCTCTATGTAAAGACTTTCAATTGCACTTGGAGAAGACACTTTGACAAAGCCACCTGCTTCAGTCTATCAAACCCAGATTAATTTTCAACCCTGTGACACAGAACTGATGGCAATATTTATTCAAAAACAACATCACAAACTAGTGAAAGGCTCGGTATTAATCATGAAGAACAAATGAGAGAAGAGAGAGCGGGGAAAAAAAGCATTAATGCTGAATTTTATAGGAATCTTCTGGACTGTGTGGAGAGGAGGTGCATGAGTGTGTGTGATGGATGAGCTGGTGGCAGGAAGGGACTTTGGGGCTATGGAAAGCAGATCACTGAGGGGCGGAAAGCAGGAGAGCTGTGAGCAGCTGAGCTGTAATTAAGGAACTGTAGGAGAGCGAAACAACGCCAAGAAACAAAGCTGATGTGAATGAGCCCCAGGGACACGGGAAGAAAGGAACTGTAAATGAATGCTGAGAGCCCAGCCCTGGCAGCGAGGGGAGCTGCTCCTGGCTAACACATAAACACTGCCTGTGCTGGGGATGCTGCACCACACACAGCCAGGGGGAAGCAGTCCCGTGGGCAGCACCTGGATATCCCTGGCTGAGGGATACTGGGGCACAAGGTGAAGACCACGGCACAATAAATTCAACTATTAATTCACAGTTGATACAAAAGAGCGATTGCTGGCAGGAAAATACACAGGGTGGACAAACCCCTCCTAGAGTCACACTTTTAAAAAGCCAGAGGCAATAATTATGTCAAGAGATGGCATAAGGAGGTAAGGTGGATATTTCATGCCTTCCTGCTGACGAGGCTGGAGGGAAGGTTACTTGGGAGAAGCCATTTCCCATGGGAGATGCCACACCTACCTCATCCGACATCAGTGTAGCGATGGCTCGGCCGATCTCATGATAGGACTTGGCTTTGCCCTTTGGTCCCAGCAGAATGAAGAGAAATCTGACAAAACCAAGAGATTGTTCCCACTTAGGATGGCAAAACGAACTGCTTAGTGCTCACACAACACCTAGACAGAAATGTGACTTTAAGAACTGTGGTCCTTGTTAGAGCCCTGGAGGCTGCCAGTGGCCCCAGGATAACTTGGGAGCAGAGGTTACACCCTGTGGCCCGCCATGCCCTGTGCACCACGAAAGCCTGTCCACCTCCACGGGGATTTGCTTCATGGAATCACAGAATAGTTTGTGCTGGAAAGGATCCTAAAGGCCATCTAGTTCCAGTCCCCTGCCATGGGCAGGGACAGCCCCTACTAGCCAGGCTCCTCCGAGCCCTGTCCAAGCTGGCCTTGGACACTTCGTTTTCCACACGACCTCTCTGGGCAGCAACAACATCCAAGTCACTGCTGAAGAGTTTAAAAAACACCATGATATGAAACCTTTATCAGTGCAAACATACACATGAAATAACCTCACCAGAAGCAACTATGCCCTTCCAAGGATTGGATTAAATATTATTTTATCTCCCTAACTCAAATATGATGAGGTACTTATGGCTTACGAGGAGTACTATATCCAAACAAGTACTTTCTGTTCAAAAGAATCTGGAGTCCTAAAAGAAAAAAAGGCAGCAAGTTAGTAGGACAGGATCCATAAATACATATTGATTTGCATTACTACATAACACTTTTTAATTGAGTTCTTCACGAGGCGTTGGAGTGTTTTACTTGAGGTTCACAGGGAGGTGAGTAAGCCACACACGCCCAGGTCACATCCTCTGCTCTCCTCCCACCTCCTGGAACTTTCCCTGCTTTACCAGTTCTTATAAAATAACATTCAAGAAAAACTGTTCCTCAGCCAACTCCTTCCAAATCCAGGATGCAAATTAGCCAAACATATTAATATTAAAAAAAAGAGGTTCATAACTTCAGGAGTTGGTAGAATTGGAGTTGGTTGGAGTTGGAGAATGCTGCTTGGCATTCTTCTGGTTTTCCAGGAGAACAAGACACTTTTATAACCTTCTTCTACAATAACCCCAACCAGCTGGCTCTTTCCCAGCGCAGAGCAACAGCACCTGAATACTCCTGCACTACTAAAACACTCTTGAAAACAAGGAGTCTGTGGCATTTTCCAAATTCTTCATCCTAATTCAGCTCAGAACTGCCTTCAGTGGGTAGAGCAAGATCTTTTTGTGGGCCAAACACTACAAACACAAAAACATTAATGCATTTTAGTTGCCCAAACTAGATTATGTCTGCATAGATTTATTATTGTTAAGCTATGAACACCTCCAGCTACAAAAGCTCTCACTCCTAGCTCTGCTGTACTCCTCCTCTTCCTCTGCTGAATGCCACTTGAGAATTCCTCCCTGCTGCACACAACACATGCTGAGCTATCCAATGCCCATTGCTGCTGCTTAACTTATTGCTAATAATGCTCCAAGGCAGGGAATGTGAGGTTCCACCAAGCTCAAAGTCTCTCAGAAGTAATAACAAAATCCAATGTTTCTCTCAAGGCGTTGCTAGAACAGCAACTCTCTAAGGGTTAAAGGCACCTGAACAAAGGAACCTCAGCCAAGTCCTGGAGGAAAAGTGCCTCTGCAGGGAAAAGCCTCTGTTGGGAGGCCAGGGAGGACCAGACTTCTGGATCTGCCCCTCACTTCCCCAGTGACCTTTGGGCAGGTTATTTCATTTCATTTGAGACCTGCAGACACCGGCCTTTCCCAGCTCTGCACACCAGGCTCTGCAAGTCAGTGCAGCTTATCTCCAAAAAACATCTTCCATCTTCTCCTGGCTCATTCCTCATCTTTCTCCCCATCTTCATTGCATTAAACAGCAGCCTTGAACACACGATGGTGCACTGCTCTGATGAAAATACAAAGCCATTCCCAAGCCATGCTGCCAGCTCAGGGCTTATCCAAATGAGGAGTCCCAAATACTGTGGGATGAAATCTGACAAGAAAACAAAAGGCCTTAAAGGTTTTCCCAATCTGATCAGTAAAAAGAAAACTCGAGAAAGGCTGGGATATCTCTATTCCAACTGCATACCCCTGATTTTTCTATTACTAGCCCCTGGGCTCTGCAGCCAGGGTGGGAGAGCTGGGGGTGACCAGTCTGGAGAAGAGAAGGCTCCAGGGAGCCCCTTCCAGTGCCTAAAAGAGAGGGACTTGGGAGTGACAGGACAAGGGGGAACAGCTTCACACTGACAGAGGGCAAGGGTACACTGGATATTAAGAAGAAATTCTTCCCTGTGAGGGTGGTGAGGCCCTGGTTGCCCAGAGAAGCTGTAGCTGTCCCATTCCTGGAAGTGTCCAAGGCCAGGCTGGACGGGGTTTGGAGCAACCTGGGAGAGTGGAAGGTGTCCCTGCCATGGCAGAGGGGTTGGAACGAGATGGTCTTTGAGTTCCTTTCCAACCCAAACCATTCCTTGCTTCTCTCTCTGCAGTTCCTTAAGAGCAGGAAATGCTCACCTAACACAGCACCCCAAGCACAGGGGCTGGATTGGCCCTGAGCCAAAACCTGCAGGTTTAACCCCCTCCTGCCCTACATCAAACCAACGAGAGAGGCAGACACAGGTCACACTGGCAGTACTGAGAGACCTGGCCCACAGCACCCAAACGTCGCTAGAAACCCCGAGAGGCTGCAGTGCCCTGCGGGGACCAAGTGGCACCCCAAGTCTTACCAGGAAATCAACAATTTAACAAAAGAAAAGGAGAAGCCCCACAGGACAGAAGGCTGGGGATACCAGAGGCTCCAGCTCCAACATCCTGCAGAGTCTGAGGGCTCTAAATGCAGGCCCACGGCAGGAATGCCGGCGGCACCGGAGATGTTCCATCACAACTCCGCGTGGCCCTGAGGGGATTTCCTTGATTGAATTTCATAGGATGCAGCCATGGCAAATGGCTCTTCATCACTCATGAAAGCCACCTAATGAGCCTTCCTGCTTTGATTATTTGCTTTGGAGAACAGCAAATGGATAATAGTATTTCCTGGGAAAAATGCTGGCATGGAAGGACATACTGCCTTGATTAGTGCTACAGAGTAATGAGGCTGCCCAGCAATCCTGGATCTAACTTTCTGGCTCCCACCTACCACAGCAAACAATACCTAACCTTCCAAGTGCTGAAAAGAACCTGGAGATATGTTTAAAACATAGTCAGTGGGATTAGAGCTGGAAGCTGAAATGCTGAAGCACACAGAGGCCAGGAATGTTGAATGAATGAATGAATAACCTGCCACAAAATGATGGCACATCTGGGTCCCCACACTCCTGCCTGAATGCCCAGTGTGTAGAGACAGCTGTGGACGTGGCTGTAAGAAACCACTTACTGCAACTCCAAGAAATACGAATACTGCTACTAGCACTAAAGAGAAAAGCTATCTCCTCTTTCCCCTTTGTCTGGTACACAGAAAGAGGCAAGGATTCCAACAGCCATCTAACTTCCACTCCATACAAGGGCTGTGATATTGCTATGAATTCACATAGGGCAGCTTAGACAGGCAGGCATATTCGAGCAGTGACTTCAAATATTTAAGAACACAAGACATATTGCTGTTTTTGAGACTGAAATTAATTTGCTACATGAGTCACAATAAATAAAATATTTCTCTGACATTTTTCCTTGAGCCATTATGCATTACAAAGCAACAAGCCCCAGAAGAATTGTATGCCCTGGTTCACCTGACTTTTTTTTTTTCGCCCCAGGAGGGTCAGAATTGGATCTTCCATTTGATCTGAGCTGAAGAGGGATAATATGTGCAGCAAAAATGTGCAGAGGGAATCTGGGATCTGTACAGAAGGGGCAGGAAAAAGGCCCCAGGACTTAAATTCAACACTGACAGTGCCCTTTACTGCTGAGTTGTTAAGTCAGTGTGTTTGTGTAATGGTTCACTTATAACCAAACTCAGGACCAGAAAACGATGAAGCAGCTTCAGTGAGTTTTGTTACTTTACACCACCAATCCTGACGGTTCTGCATGTCACGGGATGGAAAGCGGTGGAGAACATCTTCTGGCCTGTTTTTTCTACTTTCCCAGGTGGAAATGCAGGCTCCCTGTGTGGTGCCCTGCCTTGGGGCTGGGTTTCCTTACCGTGTGGGAACAGGGACCTCGGTGAGAGCTCCCAGCATGACCGCCTGCTGCAGCCGCACGAAGGCAATGAAGGGGCTCTCCAGGAAATCCACCTCCCCCACCAGCACGTTGGAGGCCTCAGCGTCACGAGGCAATTTCTTCATGAATTTATTCTTCAGCTGCAGCAGGGAAAGAGGAAGGAAAAAAAAATTGTATCAGGCACGTTCTTCTCATCTCTGCACCTCTGTGCCCTAAGTGTGCACGCTGGAGGGCTCTGCAGTGTGCACCCTTGGTCTGGATCCAGCCATGGGGAAATGCCATCCACAGGGAATGGGAAAACACTGCAGCAGCAGCAGCCACTGGGTTCTGTAACTCAGCCTCTGCGAGACGCCTGAGTTTGAACTTCAGCAGCGGCAGAATTAATTTGGAATTGAATCTGGAATTAAGGCTTTGGAAAACCCTGCCCTCGGCTGGTTCCCAATCTGCCCCCTCTCCCTGGAGATGCTCTGGGTGTACCTGGCGAGGCGTGAATGGAGAGGAAGGATGTACTGCCAGGAGCACCGGCGCGACAGGGGGGCACTGAACTGGGCTATGAATCCCTAATGAGCTGCATGAGGCCACTCCAGGAAGAAGAAAAAGGGAAGAAGTCTCGAGAAAGCACATGAATTGATTAAACAAGAAGAAAATTGCTGGAACTATCCTACCCCTACATGCCACCAGAAGAAATAGTAAATAAGCATCAAGGAGCGCTGTGGAAGAAGTCTGGAGAAGTGCTACCAGTTCTTCCACAGCATTTGGGAGCATGGTGGTGGTAAAAAAATAATGGGAAGATGGTAAATCCACAAGAAACGTTTCATGTATCTCACCAGGTTGGCCGTGTTGCTGAAAAATAATCATTCAGCAACACCAGGGCTGGTTTGGACACCCAGTCCAAACCCAGGTGATTCTCTGAGCCAGAACTGACTTGCAGGGTTTCCTGTGGCCAGCAGCTCCTGAGGCCGAAGGCTCCAGACCCTTCCCCCCTGCCCAGCACAGCAAACCACCGTCACTAATTTTAAAAAGTTGCCATTACAGTGGGTTTTTTTTATCTCCGAATGAGTTTTGCAGCACCACTTGCCACTTTCTTAAATCATTTATCAGACAGGTAATGAGTGCAGTCAGCACTTAAAATCCATTCTGAACCATTCCCCAAAGAAACTTTGGAAAGATCTGGCTCCTCAGCAACATCCAGGAACAAGGGAGGGACGAGGGAGCTTCACTTTCCCCTGCCAAACTGAACATCATTCCAACCCAACCACTAATGTTATGATAAAAGCCACAGGTCTCCAGCACTGTACTTGCAAAAAGGCACAGCAACCTCAAAATCCCAATTTCCTTAAATGCACTGTAGCACTCAGATCATCAACACCACTCTGGATCGATTGGGAATGAAAGCAGCTCCTAAGTAAACACTCCTAAGCAGCACTTAAGGGAGCCTAATTCCCCCTGGAACTTGAAGCTGTCTCTGTTTTTCTGTATCTGCTCACACATAGGTTTAAGATCACCTTCCCACAACTTATCCCCTGACCACCTGCCTCCAGGGGTACCTTCCAAGCTTCAGGCTGCTCCATCACCCCAGGATGCTTTAGAGAGCCACTGGGGATATGGGGAGAAACCAGGCAGGCAAAACTGCTCTCTGCATCAAGAAAAGCAGCAAAAGTAAGGGCAAATTTGGTTAACTAAACTTTCTAGAAACTTTTCCTTTCCTCCAGAAGGGTGGCATTGGTTGTACTGGAAGACAGTAATTTTCACTGGAGTTCTGTGGAGTGAAAGTACGTCCCCCAGGCTGACAGACCTCCAAATTGGGAATGTCTGCTTGCAACTGTGGAGATGAGAAGATGTTCCAACAGGAAAAGCAGGCAATCACTCCCACAATCAACCACAGGACTGCATTCCCAAGAATGGGACCCAGCCAGCACCTCTCTGTCCGTGGGTCCCCAGGAAAGGCAGGAGGGTTTCTCTAAACAAGGCCAATTTCTTTTTTAACCTCAGTGCTGGCTTTGGCACAGATCCCCTGTTGACATGGAAACAGCGGGTTGAACACACAGTGTCTACACCACAACAAATAAGAAGGGTTTTGTGCCTCCCTCTGACTGCCTGTATTCATTCAGAGCCAGGCTCGTCCCACATCCAAGCCCTCTGGAAGCAGAGATAACGCCAGGTCAGGAAACTCCCCTTATATCAACATACATTCCCTTTCTATATGCTGTTGCATCAGCTCAGGAATAGCAGGTCCCTGGGAAAACAGATTTCCTTTCATGTCCCCTTTATTTTACATGTTGAACACTGAAGGAGTCCCGGTGGTTCAGCCACTTGGAGCTGCCAAGGACATTCTAACAGAGCACAGCCAAAGGATTTCTTGCAGGAGGAGGGACTGGAGTGGGAACAGCAGTAGGAACTTCCCCAGCTTCCTGTGGTCTGTTGGCACTGTGGCATCAGAGGGGCTGATAAAGCATCTGACTCTTTTCAGTCACTTTCCTTCACACATAAGCTGAAAAAAAGAGTTTTAAATGTTTTTAAAATATTAATATGTGGCTGCCCCATCCCTGGAAGTGTCCACAGCCATGTTGGACAGGGCTTGGAGCAACCTGGGCTAGTGGAAGGTGGCCCTGACCATGGCAAGGGGTGGAATAGGATGATGTTTAAGATCCCAATCCATTCTGAGATGCTGGGATTCTATGAATACGGTGCTAGTGAAAAACTTGATCCAACAACTTGACGTTCAGGAGCTGGAGGAATTCCCCGGCCATGAGAGGTCCTGGTTTTAGGGACATAGCTCCAGCATCACTGGTGTATCTGGCAACAGAGAGCTAGGAGCCCAGGAGAGGGCACGAAGTCTAGATGCTCACTTATGCATTGCTATATAGAAAAGAAGAATAAATTGTCCCAAAATGCCACTGCTTGTCTCTCCAGGTACAAATGCCCAGGCATCACCTGCAGCCAACACTCCTAAAATACGACAAATGAAGGCAAATCCCTTCTGTGCACTGCTACCTCAGGAGCAGTGCTCTGCCAAAACAGTGAAAGGGAACACACCTCCTCTTCCCTAATTATCTTCATAAAATGCCAAACAATCCCAAAGCAAAAAACACAAAGAAAGAGCAAACCCCAAATCTGTGGGCCCTTACTGAAGCTGTTTCTCATCAGAGCAGTTTGAGCCGGGGACCCGGCAGCTCCTGCAGGATCCTGAGCCAGCCTCCCTGCAATCCCAATGGATCAAGCCACCATTCCCGTGGCAGAGACAGCCAGCTGATGCCAACTGCCTGATTCTGTCTGGGTCCCTGGCAGTGAGGATGAATCTGGGAGGAACCTCTGACACATCAGATCTCTGACATGCATGTGAAACCCGAACCTTACAACATCCAGAGAAAAGGAGCAGGAACGCTCCAGATTAAAGGAGTATGCTGGCTATAAACTCCCTAGGATTATTAGCTGCACCACTCCAAATAGCATTAAAGGCTGCAGAGCTGAATATTAAGGATGCAGGAGGACAGGAAAATCACTGAAGGTACAAAGAAGTTTGGATAAAAGTACTCATTAATTGTATATACACACACACACACATATATACATATACATATATATGTGCATATATTGTACTGAAAGCCTTTTTTCCTCTAAAACACAGACACACAATCCTCTATCTGTACAAAACACCAGGCATTGATTAAGGATGCAGGAAGGCAGCCCTGCTCCATGCAACTGCTATAAACTGACCTCACCCGCCACAGTTCTTACACGCAGACAAACAAATAAAAATTGGGATATTCTGTGTCTCCAGCAGACTCCCCCCTGCCTGGATGGCCTCACTAGCTGTCCAGATTCCAGATGGGATGCCCAAATAATGACAGCCAGTCTCCCTGCTGCCAAGGCAGGCCAACCTGTTCCCTTAGCAGCTCGTGTTGTGGTAACACGATGGATTATTGCCGTGCCTCCCGTATGGCACGCTGAGTCCTGCTCAGGAAGTTGCCAGGCACCACCACAATGCCACAAACTCAATCAAGGCAGGACTTTGAATGAAAACTGAGCTCTAAGGTGATGTCTCAAGGCACAGAGGACAAGGCTCCCACTTGTGCTAAGTTCATCAGCAGGACACGGGCTAATTAACTGAGAGGATTTTTGGAACCCTGTGCTTAGCAAGAAACAGTTCTCACTACCAGGAGCCAGGCATTCTGTACACTTCAAGTTAAAAACTCTGGAGTGTCCTCCCAGCTGCATCTATTAACAGATTTCCCAGATATCAGTGCTACCAAAACATCTATTTTTATACCCAATTCTCCACAAAAGTCCATTATCTGAATTTCCAGAGACACAGGAGGAGCAGTGGGGACCGTCTGCACCGCTGAGAGCTGCAAGGCTGCTGCAAGGCTCAGCCCCAGCTTTGGGCTGGTGTAGCATAAAAACCCCAATTACAATGGGATAAAAAATATAACACAGAAGTTTGTTCAATGGCAAAAAGGCTATTTAACAATCCTCCTTCTTCCCCAGGTGTGGCTGTGTGTATTAAGGAAACTGCCATTTTAGAAAACACAACCAATACAGATGGTACTACAACACTGCATGACACTGAGGTCAGTGCAAAACACGCTGTTCCCCTTCTCTTTCTGTGGAAGTGCATTTCTTTAGGCAAATATCTATTTCTTTTTACAATATTCAATTAGTCTGGACTCACTTTTCTACCTCACTTATGTTGCTGTGTCCCTTTCAGGCTGCACTTACAGAAGACTCTGACCAGCCATTGTTGAAGGATGGGAGTCACCCCCAACTGGCCAGCAACTCTGTGCTACCCAAATAATTTTCCAAAGTGACTCTCATTTGCATTCAGAATCACCATGGGACTAGGGAATGCTGAAAGACGCAGCCAGGCTTTGAGAATAACCCACTTTTTGAACCCAGACAAAGGTTTTTTGAAATTTGCACAGAGACCTCATTCAGCCACCAGTTTTTCTAAGAGTTGGAATAAACTTACTCTTACCCCTCAGAACAGGCAGCCTTGGGAAAGGACGGAAACACACACAAAGACAGCCCGTACGCCATACCCCAAACATTACCCTAGTCCAACAAGGAGGTCAAGTCCGTGGAGATTTGTCACTGGAGGCCAATTTTAACTCAATTACTGACTGCATTTTGGAGCTGCTCTCCCACATTACCTGTCAGCACAGCCACCTTCCTGCTGGGACGTGCAGGGGGAGGTGGCCCCTCTGTTCCACCAGTTGCTGCAGCAGGGACACACTCCCCTGTGTGCTCCTGCTCTGCTCCATGGCTCCCATGAACGCTCAGCCCAGGGTGCTCCTCTGCTGGCCCTTGTAACCCCTCAGCAGGAAGAGGATCCAAAATCCATCACTCCCTAGGTATTTTCCCACTTTTCTCATGGGGATCAGCAATATACCATCTATGTGGTATCACTTGCTTCAGACCTTGCAGGAGATTAACCTGCTGTTTCCAAGGGTTGGTGTTTAAAGAGTGGAGGAACCACTCAGAGGACTCGACAATACTCACTCCTCTTCTTCTTCAGGTACAGTGGAGCCCTTCCCCCAGCATCCAGCTCCTCTCCAAACACATCCCCGAGCGAAGGCTGGACCTGGAGCTTACCTGGTCCTTCTCAGGCTTGTCCGAGATGTCGTTGAGGCTGGTGGAAGTCAGGTTTCGGTGAGCCATGGCTGGGCTGCCTGTAACAACAATGTTGACACCATTAAAACACCTGCTTGCATCCAGTTCAGAACACAGAGGCTCAGGCTACAGCAACACCTTTCCTTGGGAGGCTGGCATGGGGAATTCCAGACCCTGCCAAGCTGCTTTCTGTCACTTGATGTGGCACGGGGGGGATTTAAGATGCTAACGCTTCATCACCTCTGACCCACAGCACTCCAGTGACTCCCGGGACAGCAGAATAGTCCAAGGACTTTCCATAATTCCTGCCCGTGGGAGAAAAGCCAAGCAGCACCACACTGCTGGCCAGGTCACCCAGGACCCACCACAAACCCATCCCTCCATGGGGCTGGGACCTTCCAGGGTGCCAAGCCCTGGCCTCAGCTCTCCTGCATGGCTGGCACCTGCCCCCCTCCATCCCAGACACTGCACACAGTGCAGGCAGAGAGGGAGGGCGGCAGCTCCTGGTCCTTTGAGACAGCCTCTAATGAGCACCTCCCTCATTATGAGTAAGCTCATTAACTAAGCTCAGGAACCTTGAGCATCTCTCTGATGAAAACAACGTGTGTGCCACGCTGACGGGCCAAGAGTCACCAATTCCTGACACCAGATTCTCTGGAGAGGTGAAGAAACTCTCCAGAGACACAGCAGAATAATTAAATTTAAACCAACCCAAAACACAAGTAAACAAGAAACCAAGAGTAAACAAAGATTTCTGGGACGGATACAGGACTGGAAATCACAGCTGTCAGTATGAACTGTTATAAATTATCCTGAAATGTTCCCATCTCTTCTCATCACATTTGCAGGAATCTGAAACACAGCACCAGGAGCTTTCATCCCAAAGTTTCTGACCATGAACTTCATTGGAAAGAGAGGAAATATTAAGGTAAAAAAAATGGCAAGGAGGCATCTCCTTGTCTCATTTTTGAGGCTGTGTTTTGAGACAATATTTATTTGATATTATTAAAAGGAATGTCCAACTCCTCGGTTTGAGGGAACTCCCAACACAGCTCCCAGCACAAACAAGCTCAATAACAAATCAGCATCAGGAGCAAGTAGCCAAAGGAGTGGGAATAAAAAACTCTGCACTCCCCAGGGCTGGGTTTTCTTTACAACATAGGTGAGGATAGATTCAAAGCAGCTGTACCTGCTGTGTGTTTCTGCCACGTCCAGCACCATCGGCACAGCCCAAGCCAAGCACAATTAGACAAATCACGTATTACAAAGGGGGAGCCTCAGCTTCAGCTCTTCCTGCTGTTATTTAAGACCCCACTTGGCTGCTATTTTTTTCCAGATTACATCACTTGTTTGCTTTGTTTATTAAATTCCAAGCTGTCTGCTGTTCCCTGTGATATAATGACCCTTCTCCCAAGAGGAGGAGGCTTGTGCCTTTCTCTCCCCACGCTACCAGCCTCCTTCTCCTAGGGAGGGTCAACGTAGCCACACAAAATCAGAGCAGCTCCAAACAAACCTTCTCCTAATGGGCTCCACACAGCCACACAAACTCACCACAGTTCCAGAAAAACACCTGGAGCACAAGGTTTGGGCTGCTCAGACCCCTGTGGAGGACTTCTGGCACACGACACTCACCCTCTTATGGTGTTTGCTAACGAAGGATCATTTCCTGATCCAGGCCCAGCTCCCATTCCTTTCTCTCTGGCAAAGGTGACATGAGCCTGTCCGTGGCTGTGCTCAGCCAAGGACTCGTGAGGGAGGCACGGCACGCAGTCCAATGCCCTCTGTGCTATTATCTCATCCTATGGATCAGCTCCATAGTAACCTGCCAAGGGGAATACCCTGGAATTCAGACTTCAGTCGCCTGCCGTGGCCACCAGAGAACACCTCTGTGCCACAAGCTGTGCCTTCCTGGGAGGAGCAGTGAGCTCCTCTGGGATCAGCAAGGAGTCATGTCTGACACAGGGGATCAGGGAGGAGCAGTGCTGGAGACCTGTCCGGCTCACCCCAGAGAGATCAAGCTGGCAGACCATTTCTAAGGATCATTCATGTGAAAATTAAAATATTTAAGCCCCTTCAACAGACAAAGGATACTTCAAGAGACCAAAAAAAAAAAAAAGTGCCAGCAACCAGCTTAGATTCCCCTTGGAAGGGGAGTCTGGCCTGACCTACCTGCTTCATCCCAGATGAAGGAAAAAAGGAAAACAGAATGAAACACAGCAGTGGAGGGGACAGTGAGCATAAAACAAACAGCTAGAGTAGCACCACTCCCCACTGAAGGCATCTTGCCACTGTTAATGCAGCAGCAAGCGTTAGGAGCCCAGTTGGTGGGACTTGCCACTTGCTCTTGCTCTGCTGGCCCCCAGGCTGCCCGCCCTGAGCCCTGCCCAGCACTTACTGAGCCATCCCACGCTGGGGCTGCGCTGCACTCCCAGCTCATCGTCCAAGGTGCGCGTGGCCAGGCAGGGCACGGAGCTCTCCAGCGGGCTACGTGCTTGTGCCAGGCAAGCAGGAGACGGGAGCGGCAGCAAAGAGCAGGAAGAGAGCAAAGGGGAAAAGTTAAAAGAAAAGAAAATAAAATTATGCCAGAAAGAAAGGCTCGAGCAGTGGTACAGGAAAGCCAGGCAGGAGAGAAGGTTTGAGCTGCACAGTGCGGTCACCAAAGCCCACTCATTTAGATCCTGACATCTCCCCCATAGCTCCACCTCGCAGCGTTCACTTGGCAGGGCTGGACACAGCTCTCCATCCCTGGTCTCTGAAGTTCAGGCATCTCTGAAGCAGATCTCAAGGAGGTGAGTGAGCAGCTGCGGTGCTGGTGGCACCGAGCAGTTCCAGGCCACAGCACCACCACTAACAACAGGTTTTTGAAAATAAAGACCAGGTCATGTCCCAGGAGCAAACTTTCAGCATCCTGACCGCATCCATACATATTCAGGCACACCAATCCAGACTTGGAAATGCTCACCTCAGTCTGCAGCGCTTCCAACGATGCCAATACATACATTGATGGGGGTTTTCCAAGCATTCCTTGGACACCACCTCACTTCTGACTTCAGCTGCTCTCCTCTGTGCTGGTGCTGCTCAGCTGATGCCACTGCTCAGCTATAAAGGCACTGAGGCCACCGTTCATGTGAAAAACACTGAACTGAATAATGCTGAACCAGAGGAGCCATGGCTGCCCCATCCCTGAAGTGTCCAAGGAACAGAGCTTGGAGTAACCTGGGCTAGTGGCCCTTCCAGTGGCAGGGGGCTGGAACAAGATGCTCTTTCCTTCCAACCCAAGCTCTTCCAGGATTCTGAAGTAGAATAAAACCACCCTCCCCAGCACAGGCAGGTACCCTCCTGTCTGTGCCTCAGCTGACACCTTGCCAACAGCCTGCTATTCCCACTCAACTGTTTGCAAACCATGCTGCCAGCACAGTGTGAACAAGCCGTGCTCAGGAGGTGTTTGGGCAGCGCCCACGCGGTGGTGGGACTGTGCCATTATTTACGGTGGTTAAACACACACACTTAAACACATCACAGCTTTCTACAGGCTCTGCCAGCTTGGCTTTAGCAGCATGTGATCGCTTCTCGCTTGCCAAAGGCTCCCACAGGTGTTAAAATATACAGAACGCTGGCAGGCACGAAGCTCTGAAAGAAACATCTCAGAAGGGATAGCAAATGTCATCACAGAAGGCTGGTAAATATTGATTGGTCCTCAGGCACCTGCAGAAGGGATGGGGACCACAGATCCCACGTTATACCGTGGCAAACCCCAAGGTGTGCCAGCTGGAGCCCTGCTAGCCCAGGTGTTACAAGGGCTGTGCCAGGAAGGGATACAATGAACTCTTCAAAAGCCACTCAACAAAACCAGACACACATGAAAACCTGTCAAAAACCCATCAAAACCCCCTGCAGGAGTCCCATCAACATGTAACATGGAAATATCCTTGCTGAACACTTCATACAGCTCAACCTTCTAGCAATGGAAGCAAGGGGAAAAGGGCTGTAGCTTCTCAAGGTAACGTGGAGAGATTGCTTAGTCCAGCTCGGTATGCCCAGAATTTTGGCAATCATCTCTTTCTTGCTGAACAGACAGCAAAAGAGTGTTGGGATTTATCCTCCTCCATCCATGGCACACAAGGAACTACCCTCTTTTGCCCGATTCCTTTCCCAGAGCAAAGGGATTCCTGACAAACATCCTGCCGCAGCATGACCCACGCCAACTTCTATGATACAGAGACACAGAGCAGAGCACACCTTGGCTGTGTCTCTGCCCATCTCATCACTACCTCACCTTCAAACAGAGCACTGACATGACAGATGGGGGCTGAGGATGACTCGCTCCCAGGAACCACAGAGCCACTCCCATCCCTAGGGAGCGCTGGGAAAGGACAGAGATGCTCCAGGATCGGTTATGGCAGGGAGATTGGCAGTACATCATTCTTTCTTAGATTCCTGAATTTCTAGAGGCATCTGGGATAACTGCATGGGGCTCATTCATCTCTGAAGTAAAAAAAAAATAACATTTTGGAGGCCCTAAGACTTCAGTTATTTAAGCACTCTGAACCAAGTGAGACAGAGGCACCTCAGGATTTTTTTGAGCCATGGCCCAGGGTATATTTCCAAATTTCAGATCTAGCAAACAGATCCCACCCCTGAAGTATTCAAGGGCAGCTTGCAGAAGGTGTCCCTGCTGAGCCAGTCAAGCAGGGGGCAGCTACACCAGCCTATAAAGCTGCTGTGAAGAGGGCAGGCAGATGCTCAGACCTGGTGGCAGCATCAATATTGGATGGAAGTTTCACTGACACTGAAGTGAAAACAAACACCTACCTGGAAAGAAACTCTAGGGAAATTTAGGAGTGCTTGGGGCCGGTGGCACAGTCATTATGGTGATTAGCTATGCTAAGAGACAGCTGCACTCCCGTTGGCCTCATAAAATTTTTATCTGTCTAAAGGACACGTGAGGCATTCATTGAATCCAAGGTATATAACCTGATCAAATATGTTCTGTAGTTACTTTTTCATTAAAGTGTAAATAATAAATAGCTGTAACGACTTTTCATGAGGTATTTCCCCCATATGTCAGTCTCGCCCTCCTAGAGTCTCAATGCGCTTGTCCTGCCATGGAACAGAGTGCTGTACATCCTCAAAGCACAGAAATAGCCCAGGTGGGAGCACAGAGACACAACAACATAAAAGGAGTGGCTGATGGCCAGACCAGGAAAGAATTCTTGGAGAAGCAGTCCAACTGAGCCAGGACCTGCACAGCCCATGCAAACAAGAACAAGAAATGAATGAAATTGAAATCACTTAAAATCCAAGTAAAGAAGGCCCTTAGCCATGAAAAATGAGCAGGGGCTCAGTGAGAATGTGAGAAATGCCCTTTGTCAGCATCACTCTTCCTGGGATAAGCTTTGCCTACATGCAGGAAAAGGGGTTTGCAGCTGAGGGCATCCCCTAAAAGAGGCGACTGAAATGTCCCTTGTAGCTGAAACCTTCACCTGAGACCAACAGCTGAAGACGTGTCTGTCTGGTGTTCAGCCTCCCACACACCATGGCAACAGGCCAGGATTCCTCCCATCACAGCAAACTCGGCCATCAAAGGTGCAGCAAGGGTTGGAGTCACGGAGGTGCTAACAGGAAGCAGATGCCTTCCATCCAAACCGTGGGGAGCACAGCATGGGAAGGCACCAGAAGGCCAGGCTGGCTGGGGTTTGTAGCCACGTGGTCTCGCAGGAGTCCCTGCTCGCGGCTCCTCCAGCTATAGGGCTCCCCTGGCCACGCTGAGCCCCTTCCCTAAAGCTGTGATTTCCTCCCAGTGCTCTCCCTGGAGTGCAGTCCCTCCCCTCTCCGTGGGACTCCTGCAGGGATATCCACCGAGAACGCTGCCGCGGCTCACATCACCGCGCTCAGTCAGCACCGCATCCACGCGACACAACACGACACGGGGCATCACCCACCGCAACAAACAGCTCCACGTGCACACACACCCCTGCTGCAAAACCAAAGGATGAGCCAAGGCAGGAAATATTAATCAAGTGTGAGAATAGGTTAGGGAGGAATGTTAGGGTGAGTTTTAGAAGCCAAACACAGCAAGCTAAGAGGCCTTTGGTGAAGCAGGAAGAAAAGAGTTTCTTCACTTGCTTTTATTTCTGGGTATTTTAAAATGGCAACTTTTAGCCCAATTTCCAGACTGCCACAGGAGACAGTTGAGAGAACTCCAAGGCATGATGAGAGGCTTAAAACACCTCTTTTTCTAATTACCATGAGCAAGAAGACCCCAAATCTCCACCCAGGGGCAAGCATTGAGTCAGTGCCTAGGCCTCTGTAGCTGTCTGCACACACACACACACACACACACACACACACACCACACGCACATTTAAGGACACCACTACCAACGTGGCACTACCTATTACACCTTTTTTAGGGAGAAGAAGAGACATATTCACAACACACACCACAAAACTACTTTAGGACAAATAAAGCAGGATGGAAATCAGCTTTACCCCACTGGACAATGATTGTATGGCAATAAAATGCAAGCTAGATGTTACTGCCAGGTCGTTTTGGATTCACAGCACCACCGGCACTGTCTGTTACAGACATGGAATGCACATGGAAGCTCTGTCTCTGCCCAAATGTTTCAGGTGATCAGCCTTTTAATAAGGCTCAGGCCCCACCAAAGTTTTTTGCGAATCCCCTTTCCTATCGTTGCTCCTAAACCATCTCCTCGACGCCAGCTGCAAGAGCATCCCCCGCCTTCCTGCCTGTCCCCTGAGCCCCTGCCAGTCCAGTGAAGATGTGGTTAGAGCCGTGCCACGGGCCAAGCAGCCTGCAGAGCCCCCGCTGATGCGCCATCAGCACGGTCTCGCTACTCCCACGGGGGTTAGGAAAGCGGTGTCAGGGCCACGCAGTTAGTTCTGGGCGGGCGGGTTGCTGTGACAGAGAAGGCCAGAGCCAGGTAGCCTCTGCATTACCATTATCGGGGTTGGAAAACATCCTACTTGCACTGGAGACGGTCTTTCCAATGTCAGCCAGCGAGCGCAGGTTGGATTTCTTGGTCTGGTGCCGGTGCTTCCTGAGCAGGGTGTAGGTGACCTTGTCCTTCAGCTCGGATTTCAACAGCCCCGTCTCGATCTGATTGTCAACGATCATCTCTGTGGCACAGGAAGGGGGAGGGAGGGGAGAGCAAAATGAACCACAGAGCTCAAAACTGCTTCGGGGGGGCAGAGAGAGAGGGACTGGAGGAATTTTCACCCTGCCTTTTTGACGGCTTTCTTACCGTCTCAAAACCAGGTTTTATTTGTATGAGAATCTCTTTCAGACGTTCCTCTTGCAACAGAACATAAGCATTTCCATCCAGCATGAGCCACTAACGCACACCTATTGCACTGAGATTCCTGTCTGCTACTCCCTACATGCCACTGAGCCTATTTCAAAGACCAGGGCTCTTAGCTCAGAAATGGATTCTCTCTGAGCCTGGACTTTTGTGAAGATGCTATAACTTGCTATATAAGCAAGTTCCAGGGTGCTCCCAAAAAACACACAGAAAAACTTCCATCAGATCCAACAAGGCCTGAGTTCACCCTGCAGGCACCCCAAGTAAAAGCTAATCTAAAGACAGGAGGAAGTCCTGGAGATGAGCCACTAATTAAATCATTCACTTGCAGGACTGAAGTGACGGCAACTACAAACGGCAGAACTTGCTCCACTTACCACAGGATGGATTATATGGCTTTATTTTGCACGGAGTCACCAGGAGAAAAGGCCCCCAGCGTCCTCAATGCCTGCTCACTTCCCATCAATTCCCTCCTTTCTCCTCCCTTATCCCAGAGGAAAAAGGCAAAAAGGTGGCCAGACTTATGAACAATGTCCCCTGTGCAGTAAATCTCGCGTGAAGTTGCCCCCCGATGACTTGAGTTTAAGCGCTGTCCCCTGAGGGCAAGTGGCAGCTCGTATTTGTCTGCTGGTAACTTTTATTTGTGCTAATAATAAAAGTTATGGCGAGGGGGAGGCAAGACACCCATCACATTTACTAACTCAGTGAGTCAGAAAGTCATCCTCTACGTGCTGCCCAAGAATTAATGCCTCTTCAAATCCCTAAGGAAGAGCCTAGTTCTTCCTCTCCAATTAAGGCAGGGTGGGTACACGCACGTAGGTACAACACGTTTGGCAAAAGGCTGACCTTTGCTAAGTGTTATTTTAATACAAGCTCTTCTTGCTCGTGGTTTTGGTTAGTGATTTTTGGAGTATTTCCTACAGCACCTTCATTCAAGTTTATCCTTCTCTATCTGGCACTTCCCTGTTGCTGATAAAACACAAACAACAAAGAGAGTTTTTCTTTGGAGTTTTCCTTTCCTGTGTGTCACTACCAGACACCAGCCAAGTGATCATGATTAAATCATCCTGGAAATCCAGTCCTGGATATCCCTACCTGTCTGATTAAGGGTCTGGACCAGCAAAAACACCCCGCTCAGGACAGTGTCACAGTGTCACAGCAAGAGCAGCCACCGATGTGTAATTTAATCTCCTAGGAATTAGATTTAATTTGGGTGTTGAAGAAGGAGATTGAAGGCGACATCTCGAAGGGACTTCAAAAGAAAATTTAATGTTTGAGGGCTTAAGGTTTCATACCATGAACATCAGCTTCTGAAGCAGGCTCACCTTCAGCAGGAAACTTGAGAGGTTCCTGGGGGTTTTATTTTGTTAAAACTTTACAAAGCTGTGCATTTGGATACATAGACACAAAAGCAAAGGAACATAAATGTCACCATAAGCACTTGCAAAACCAACTTCAAGACTCCTTATGTAATGCCAAAGCAGCTGTAATTCCAAGCCTCAGGATCCAGTGCACAGGAGAATTCCATGCCAGGCTAATTTTGACCTTACTTCCTGAGATGACCATTCAGAGCACTGAGTTTTGGAGGAGGAAGTATTTAATTTTGCTCTTTTACATCTCTTCATGTAACAGCTCGTGAACTGAGTTTTTTTGGTTAAATGTCCCTCCACTGGATGGCTCACTTGGAAAATTTATTTTCCCTAAGTTCTCACACGCCACGTGCAACGTGATCTGGCTCTCAGCACGTCACTGAGCATGTCACCCACAGCTAATCTGACCGTACCAAAGCCACCCTCTCATTCTGCAGCGAGGAGAACCAGCTGGTGCTGGGGTGTGGGGTGTCCCATCCTAAACACAGCCCCACCTCCTTCAGTGGGCAGCTGAACACCTCACCCAGGAGCAGCTCCTGGCCCGAGTGGTTCTGCATGAACGGCACCTGATGGCTGTCTCTGCTCCCAGAGACGTGGTCCTTCCACGTCACCTTTTCTACAGTGAATATATATTAAATTCATGTTTTTCATTCTTCTTCCTGCACTGAGAAGGACTCTGTTCATCTATCTGTTATCCTTTCCCAGGCACTTTCTAGTTTCCCCTGTTATTCCTTGTCATTTGGGTTGTTTTTTTCTCTTTTATTGGAAAAGCAGCGCTTTTTCATTAAAACCATCCATAAAACCACACCAGGGTTAATAAAAACGTGTGGGGAAGCGGTGAGGCAAAGAGTCAAGACAGGTGTACTTACCCACCACCTGTGGGAGGGAAGAGGCCTCCATATCCAGCATGATGGAGCCCTTCTCGATGCACGTCCTCAGCTCAAACAGGCTGTGCAGAGACAAGGTGGCCACGTGCGGTTTGCTCCATCGCTCCCCGCCTTGTTCCACCTTCTCCTCAAACTTGATCCACCTACGACAGCGCAGAGCAACGAGATGGGGTTAAGGCTTCTGCCTCCTTGCAGGGGAACAAATCCTGCATTTCTGGCAATAAGGGGACTTGTCCCTCATTATCTTGGCAGCTCTGGTTTAATGGTTGGACTCTATCGTCTTAGAGGGCTGCTCCAAACTAAATGATTCCGTGATTCAAGTTCAGGAAATAAAAGATGGAATCAGCCACTGCCAAGATGCAGGCAGCATGGAATGCCATGCCCACAGGCGAGCACATCCCAGCCATGTCTGAAGGTGCTCTCAGAGAATAAATGAGCCACCAAAGGAGAAGGCACAAATTAAGGAGCTCATTCTTTCCCTCCAGCTGCTGTTTAATGATTTAACCAAGCAGGTCTGAAAAAATCCAGAAAACTTATCTCTAATGGAAGCTGAGAGCAAAGGGTAAATCCTGCTTGTGCAAAACACTCTTCACACCCCTAAAACCACATCCCAGCAGCAGGGAAGCAGGAGGCTCCATGTCCCTGGGCTGCAGCCCACCCCCACTTGCCCCTGCAGCCTTGACCCTGCCCTTGGCTCCGCTGCACCCGGAGAACACAGGGATGGAGCACGCGGCTCCAGCCGGGCTGCGGGATCCCACCTGGCCCACACCTTCTTCCTTACCACAGCACCCAGTAACAGCTTTGCTGGAAACTGGGGGTGCAGGAAAAGGTGCTTCAATGTGCCCTAATGGCAAAGCAGAAATGCTTTTTAATTCCCTCTTGAGACACCATTTTAATATATGTGGAAAATGAAAATTCCAGTGACTAATATAAAGGGATTATTAAGAAAAAAACCTGCACACATAAGGTAAGGAAGCTCATACATTTGCTCAAAACAGTATTATTAACAGCAAGCAAAATTATCTTTAATCCCGAAAAATGTATTACTTGAGGATTAATCAATTATGCTTCACAATTGCAATAATCTCTTTTTGAGACTCTGTTTTTTTAAAGCTGCTTTTTACCTCAAGCTACAAGACTGATTTTCATCTCCAATTAATGAGGTCCTTTTAGTTCACAAAAACTAAGTGTTTCCTAGGACACCTGAGGGACCTGGGTGGATGCAACTCTGTGCACTTCAAGGGGCTTTGTGCGATGTGGGACCGAGTTACATTCACCCTGTAAGAGCAGGAAGGCTGCAAATTACCAGTGTTTGTCCTTCCAGGGAAAGTGATTACTCACAACTACCAACATTTGCTTTTTGTTTACTTTTCTCACTACACTCCACAATCCCAACACAATAAACCAAACATGAACCTGCAAACCCGGGTGAAGGAAGGCATGCGGTCAGAGAGTGCTGTGGGCTGGGAGGGACCTCAAAGCTCACCTAGCTCCAAACTGCTGCCATGGGCAAGGGGCATCTTCCACTAACCAGCATGGGAATGAAAGCTTGCATTCCAGAGGTGCTCACAGGAGTGAAGCAGAAGAAGGAAAAGACCTGCAGCAGCTGGAGGCCCCCAGCTTGTCGTGAGGCTCCATGAAGTGTCCTTGGGAACCAAGACATGTCCACCATAGTGTGGGGACTGTCGCTCCATAAGGCAGGGAGAGGGCAGGAAGGCAATGGGACTACAGAGAAAAGGAATGAAAGTGCCGGACCGTGGGATGGTGGATATGGGTTTTTTCAACCTCTTTTATGATCTTTTTTTGTTTTATAAGCTGTGCTGGGAATTACATTTTTATCCTTCACTGTTTTACACCTGATAATATCAACACAGCTTTCATGGGGCTGCTGGGAGTGAGGAGCGGCAGACAGAAGGAATGTGTAGATGTCAGAACAGAGCAGGAGGGAGATGAGGAAGATAATTTGATTATTTGTTCTCTCAAAATACGAGTGCAGCCTTTAGCCCTGCACCAGCGTGCAGGCAGTGCTGCTCTCCCCAGCTGGGAGCTATGCAGTTCTGCACTGGGGCCAGGGGAAGCATCAACCCCACAAGGTCTCTTCTGCCCTCTCCTCTCTCCTCCACCTGCACAGCCCCACACTTTTTCCTGTGCTCAGCACCTGTTCGTGCAGCTTCCCAGCTGTGGGGGAGCTGTTCTGCAGCAGCAGATATAAAACAACCCCAAAACAGCTGGCAGATCCTGTGCCCACTGAAGCACAGCGCCCGCCGGCTCTGGAGGCACTGCGAGACACTCGGGAGCTCTCAGGAGGTTCTGTGGGCGAGCTTAAATAATTTCAGCAATGTGCTGAAAAATCCTGAACCATCTTTGTAAGATCACTATCCACAAAGGCAGGAGGTTGGGCCAGTTTAGAAATTGAACAGCACCTCAACAGGGTGCTTCGCTACATTCTGTGTCATTTATACAAAGCATCATGGATCCACTCAGGTTGGCAAAGTCCTCTAAAATCATCCAATCCAAATGCTAATCCAGCAAAGCCAAGGCCACCACCAACCCATGTGCCTAAGCATCACATCTACACATGAAATCCCATGAGAGATCCTCACTCCATCACTACCCTGGGCAGACAACCCTAAGGGTGAAGAAATCTTTCCCAATATCCGACCTAAACCTCCCCTGGCACAACTGGAGGCTGTTTCCTCTCGTCCTGTGGTTTGCTGCTTGGGAGAAGACCCCTGGAGAGAACCCCAAACACAGCTCAATGCACCTAAGATGTGTAAGAAGACCTAAATCAGGAAGTGCTGAATTCCTGGTAAGAGGAAAGAAGAGCAATAAAGGGAGAAAAGGATGAGCAACAAGTCAGAAGATAGAGAGTAAAAGGTGAGAAGTCATTAAGTAAGTTCCCCAAGCCACTGAGAAGCAAAAATAAAGCAAGATAAGAGGTAAAGGGGTAGGTGGTGGAGCAGCTCATTAAATCACAGGTATAGAAGATTAAGGTGACCAAACAGGGGCTAACTTTGAACACAGACAGTGCCCTTAAGAAGGGGAGGTGGGGAAAGAGCTGCCATAAAGGAAAACCCCCAGGTTCAGTGAGGGCAACTGGGAATAGGTCAGTGGTGTTCATATATAAACTACATGTAACTTGTACCAGCCAGACCCCAAAAACACCCCAGCTTTCTTGTCATGGCTTTTTGACCAAAGAAACAGCAGCATCACAGAGCCAAGGAACTCAAGCAACCCCATCCAGCATTTAACACACACCTTGAATAATTTCTTCACAAGAAAATACCTTTATGGGTTTTTTTCTATTTAAAATTAATTCCATCAGTAACTCCCTAGGACAGGGACAGCTAAAATTTCCCAGCCTGTGGTGTGAGGTGGGACCACGCTCAAAAGCTACTTTGGGGCAATAGTACCGAAGAGGTTTTGACTCAGCCAGCAACTTCTGGCAATTCCAGCCGAGATGTGTCCCCCTTTGCAAAGCACTGCTGAGGCCCATACTTTTCTCTCCACAGGCAAGATACAGCAATCTATCTGGCACTCTATCATTCCCCTAGTTTTTCATCTGGAATACTTAAACCCTAAAATTCTCTCATTTACCAAAGAATGGTAGTTTGAATTATACCGGCTCCTTTTTGTGGCTTCCCCATGCGATCCTGCAGCACGGGTAGTGCCCAATGGAAGGCTAAAACAGCAATTTCCCATGGGAGCGCTGCTGGCTGCCCTTCCCTTTCAGGGTAAAGGAAAACCAACCCACCTTGCAGTCTCCTTCCACTCCATCTCCTGTCCATCGACAGCCAGAAGCTCGTCCAGCTCGGTGAAGAGCTGCGGGGGCGCGGGGCTGTCATCTTCCTCTCCAAGGATGAAGCGGATGCGCTCGGCGGCGGGGGAGACTGCAGAGGTGAAAATACTGCGGTTAACGGCCTGCGAGATGACCAGGGACGTGCGGCTCCTCTCCTTGCCCTGCTCCCCAAGGCCATTCAGCTGTTTCTCCAGGCTGCCTTTGCCATCTGACATCCTCGTCGCTGCGGACGCAGGGGCGTGAGCGAGGGTGCCTCTATCTCCCTCTCTCCCCTTCCTTGCCTCTCACTGAACTTCTTACAAGTTCAAGCTGGGAGTAAAGTTCAGGAAAACTTGTCTCTTCCTACAGACCTTAACTATGTTACAGCAATTTGCAGTCCTTGTAAAAAAAAAAAAGCACCGTGGAGCTCAGAACCAATGCGCTCCGTGGCGCTGCCCGAGGACCTGCCGCTCTCTGAGCAGCCCGGATCCTTCACCCCCTTTTTTATATGACCTAAAACCAGTTCCAGCCAAACCAATTGGGGGCTTGCTGGCACAGCATCCCACTGCTGGCTTTCCCCTCCCTCCCTGCCAGCCAGGTTTGGGCTGCCATTGGCCTGCAAGGCAGGCTGGAACTTCCCCAGCCCACCACTGGAAAACACAGGAATACTTAACAGAAGGGTTGTCTCGTCTATACATGAAGAATGCAACCCAATGCATTTAGTCAGGCACCAGTGCACTGAAAAAAAACAACCTGGTCCTGGTTGGAAAAGACTGCCTGTTTAGGCAAAAGAACTACGTTCAACACACAGCACAAGCAAAGTCTGCATTATAACCTCGAGAAAAAGGATAGAAACCCTTTCCTGGTTAAGGATTCCAAATTCAAACCCGAGAACGTCGCCATCCCTGTCCCATGGCCTGAGGGCATCTCCTGAAGGTGACTGGAGCCCACACCACCAGAGTCACCTTGCTGGAGGGCTCCTTGGGGTCTACAGCCTTTTTCTCAGCATATCACCTAAACATGAAGGTGTGACCATGAGAAATTTTAAGACAGGCATCCTTTCTGCTGGATGTTTATCAGCATTAGAGATACACGGCAGACTATGAACTTTGAACAGCTCTGCTAAAAACTCCTTTCTTTTCAAAAGATCAGCTGGCTGCCTCTTGCAAAATGATTAATTACACCAGGTGTCCAACCACATTGATTTTTCCAGGGTAAACATACTTCCAATTTGCAATAGGAAAAAAGAAACCAGTAAAATACACGCCATTCACACCTTTTTCTTTTCCTGAAATAAACTTCATAGCTTTCTTCCTAAATTACTCAGAGGGATGATGCTGCCGTAATACAGATTTCTTTTTCACTGAAAGTATATTTGTAATCATAACTGCCCTTGGAATCTCCTGGGAGCCAAGGACCTTGCCCCGCTGCTACAGCAGCCTCCCCATCATGAGGCATTCAACTTCCTGCAGGCTTCAGGAGAGCTGGAGAGGGACTTGTGACAAGGGCCTGGAGTGACAGGACAAGGGGGAATGGCTTCACACTGACAGAAGGCAGGGTTAGATGGGATATTGGAAAGGAATTGTTCCCTGTGAGGGAGTGAGGCCCTGGCACAGGGTGCCCAGAGAAGCTGTGGCTGCTCCTGGATCCCTGGAAGTGTCCAAGGCCAGGCTGGATAAGGCTTGGGGCAAGCTGTGATAGTGGAAGGTGTCCCTGCCATGGCAGGGGGCTGGAACGAGATGCCAGACTGTCCACCCATACCATGCATGTTCCACTGTCCTCTCCCTTTACCTGCACTAATGGATCTCAATATACTTTGCTATTCAAACAGAATTTGAGTATCCCATCCAGAAAACATATAAAATACATGTCCATCTTACTGCTTCAAAAAGCAAGGTGGACCACAGAAGTGGCTGCTGCTTGGAAGAGGCTGTAAGAGAAGAGACTGCAGAGCTTCCTAAGCTGTTGAAGGCATCCACTGGAGCCAATGGGAAAAGTCTCTCTTGAGTCACTCTGAAGTGGTTTTACTACATGCAAGCATTACCCCGATATTCCCACAATATTCTGCACACCCAACCTGGGTGCCCATCACCCCTTGTTTCTCTCCTGCCTCCTCTCCCTGTTGCTAATTTCCCATTACCCGCACTTAGGACGGATGATAAGGTTCACGATCCCATTAGGGCGCACGCCGGGTCACAGGTCCGCGATGCTCGCTTGCCCACACGTCCTTTATTGCGATTTTGTGGGTTAATGGGCCGTTTATGGGTTGTTTATGTGCTCTCTTTAGCAAGGAGAACATATTTTCATCTTAATCTCCAGGCGAACAGCGTGTGCATGTGCTGAGCGCCGGGCTCAGGGCCTGGAGAGTCATTAACCCGGGGGGTGACCCCTCAGCCCCCTGCCTGCCCAACCTTTGAGCACCCCCTGGCCAGCCCGCCCCAGCCTTGGCCATCACCTTCTGCGCCACCGCGGCCGTGCCGCCCGGGAGCCGCTCAAACCAGCGCCGCCGATGCCAGGGGCGGCTCAGGCTGGTCGATACTGTTGTCCTCGCTGTCCTATCCAAGAGAACAACCTGATGGTCAGCAGACATTTGCAGCAGAGAAAAGGCTAATCCACAAATTTAGATGGCTGGGGTTATACTGTTCCCCCGAAGGGGAGAGGAATTAAGATATTAATTGCAGAGGGTTGAATGTTCCAACGCAATGCCATCCATGGGGGATTGTCTCTCACTTCCCTCTCTTCCCTTTCCTGTTCCATTCAGCCACACGCAGTCCATGAGGCAGCTTATAAAATCATAACTCGCACAAGAGCAAACACATCAGCAGTTTCTCCAAGTTCAGCTCAGGCCAGTTCTGAGTACAATGTATACCCTCGGGTTCCCAAAGGCAAAAATCAATCTCCATCAAGAGAGAGGAATCTCAGGGAGTTCAGAAATAGGGAGAGACACGTTCTAGCACAGCAACCTCAAATCAGGCATGGCTGAGCTTCTCAGCGCTGCTCCGGCAGTGGCTTTGGTGGCAGCTCTCCCTCGCTGCCCGGTGCAACAGCAGAGCTGAACATGGAAATGCCAGGGGGCTTTGTGGCATTGGCCCCTATCCTGAAGTCACCTCCTGCTTCTGTGCCAAGGGCCTGGCTGGTGCTGGGGGGCAGGTACCTTCAGCCTGGCTCTCCGGGTGTGTGATGCTGCCTCGGGATGGAGGTCAGGGGGAATCTGTGCTGATGCACAAGTTAAACAGCCCATTCTCCACTCAGCCAACATGCTTTTCCTCCTTTTTCAGCTGGCTGCTGTCAGGGACACCTCTGAAGACCCTGGGGACCTGCACTTCAGTCAACTGCTTCCTCCACCAGAGGCCGAAGGGACCATCAGACACAAAGTTCTCTGTTACTTCCAAGCACGCCGGCAGCTACAGAAATCCCCAAGAGACCTGGTGCAAATCCCTCCCCAGAGCCTGTGGAACCAGCATCAAGGAAAGCTGTTTGTCACACGTGCTTTCCAGGCAGGCTTATTGAAACAGGACATGATGGTACTCCGGTTCCTTTCCAGAGCTGCTTTCCCTCCGCCAAAGCTCGGTCAGACCCATCTGCAGCCAGAGCGCTGCATGCTTGTGCAGACACTTGTAACAGATCTAAACCTGCTTCTTTTCCACTTCAGCTGACTTCCCTTCCAAAATTCTCCAGTACCAAAACCAATTTTAGTTGTGTGTCAATGTCAACACAAGACAGCAGCTAAAGGCAAGCAGGGGGGCTTTGGTGGCCCACAGTCCCACCAGCTTCCTTCAAGGACAAACCAGAACGGAATCCCACCTAAAAGCAGGAGTAGCTGAAAACAGTTCCCTGGGACACCTCTGCGGGTTCCCATATAGCATCCAACACACCGGGCCACAGGCTAAGACAAAGGATGCTCTCCTGCTTTGCCAGCAGTGCTGCCCAGCGCTTCTGGAGCACACCAACCCTCCATGCTATTCCTGCACCTTTACAGCTAAGAACTGTTATTTTCTTTATGGAAAGGAGGACCATCACCTCAGCTAACACCAGCTTCTGCAGAACAGCCCAGGTGAGAACTGACATCCTGATTCCCCAAGAGCTCCAGCAAGCACAAGCATCCCTGAGCACCACCAAAGGAGCCAAGTACCCGTGGATTTACACGTGGGTGTCACCGCTTTTGGAGAGACTGCACTGGGAACGCTGCTCTGAGGCCGCACAGCAGCCTTTCCCAGGGTCCCACAGAACCACCCCTGCGAGCGATCCGCTCCCCAGCTAATCACTCTAAGCAAGCGTGAGAATTTCTCTTGTGCTTGTTTTGCGTCTTTGCTTATGAACGATTACTTTTTGACCCCGTGCCGGGGCGGGCTGGCTGTGAGGCAGATTAGACTTTCCACAAGCAGGACTTGGCAGCTGGGAGGGAATGCTCCCCACACCACCTGGATCCCACCCCAGGCCACTTCTTGCACAACTCTGGGGTGCAGAGAATGCCATTCGAGGCACTTGATCTATCTGGGAGCGAATCTACCCCATCCCTTGACAGTGTCCCTTCCCAGAGATAAAGAACAGCACTGACTGCCTCTGGAATAATCCATTTTTTGCTGGACTGTTGGACTGCAGGATTGTTTTGCTGTAAGCTCCTCTGCAGCATGTGGCATATATTAAGTGTTTGATCTGCAAAAAATCTTCAGTACTGGACAAATTCTTACTAATGCTGTGTTCTCTCGAGTGCCAGGAGAATGGTAGCATTTACATAACGCCTTGCTGGGCATTCCCAGCTCCCTTGGTCTTCGGTGCTGTGCCTATGATACTTCATTAAGACATTCCTTGGAGATGCAGGGAGAGAAACAGGACCCTTCTTCCAAAAATATTTCACATTAACATGGATGCGATGCGGACAATCGGTCTGGGAAGCTTCTAAACAGACCCAGTACTATCTCATGAAAATTTGGTGGCCCTTATCCTAAAAGGCAATTCCTACAAAAGAAGACGCCCTGCCAATTCTGTCCACGTGTCTGTGATGGAGAGACCACCACATGCAACACCCCAAGTCCCACAATGAGCTTTTTCCAGCGTTGCTCCGCTCAAGGGAGACTCTGCCTTCCAAGACTTGATTTTCCCAGCTGCAGC